TCACAATGTGGACCAGACTGTTTTGAGCTTTGGAGATGTAGATAGATAAATGTGTGAATGAAACAAAACACATGTTGTCTGTTTTTGATGGATTACCGGCTCAAGTGTCCCCCTGAATCCATGTATCATTCGTTCATTCGTTTTTTCAAAATAAAACCCAAAATAAGAAAACATCTTCATTATTTGTGTACAAAAACAAAAACAATAATGATTAATTTTTTTCAGTTTTCAATTTTGTGTTTAAGTGAATAATGGAAAAAACAGATAATGGCAGTTTCCTGAATCCGTGCCTTAAACGAAGCCGGACCGAATCGGGACTAACATAGAACTAAAACAGGATTAAAACAGGACTAAACCAGGTCTAAACCTGTCTCAGTCCTGGTCTCAGTCCCGGTCTGGTCCTGGTCTGGTCCTGGTTTCCTGGCCACCCAGTCTATCCGGGCGCACCTTCGAGCCCGTCCTGACACTCCAGGTTTATTCTTGGTTTATTCTTGGTTTAGTTGCGGTTTAGTCCTGGTTCAGTTCTGGTTTAGTCCTGGTTTAGTCCTGGTTTAGTCCTGAGACCGGGACTGAGACCGGGACTGAGACCGGGACTGAGACCGGGACTGAGACCGGGACTGAGACCGGGACTGAGACCGGGACTGAGACCGGGACTGAGACCGGGACTGAGACCGGGACTGAGACCAGTTTTAGTCCGTATGCAGCGCAAAAGTTTGGCGTCGCAGTTTAAGTCACAGAAATGGGAAATGGCCGTTATCCGTTTTTTCCATTTTTCATTTAAACACAAAATCGAACACTGAAATCTGTTTTTTTGTTTGTTTGTTTGTGTGTTTTTTTTGTTTTTTTTTATTTTTGGAGACAAATAATGAAGAAAAATGTTTTTAATTTTAGATTTTTTAAGTTTTTTTTTTTAATATGCATAAACATAAACTAACATAAAGGGTACAATTCAGGGGGACTTTCCAGCTGATGTCCTTTTGATGAGGTAACAGCATTATAATGTCTAAAAGCTCACAGGAGTCAGTTTTGCGTAAATTTAAGGAAGTCTTATGGGGATGTAGGCCGGCTAAATGTGGTTCAAAATATTGTTGATCTTTTAAAATGCAGCTCCGTGGAGATAGACAAGTTAAATGACACAGTGGAAAATTTGTAGACATTGCAATTACATTTCCACATAGACAAGCAGATGGCAGATTCTCCTCCAGAAGAGTTCCACAGTGCTCCTTTAAATGAGATCCACCCTTGTTAATATTTAAAGAAAAGCCTCGTGTCTTCACCTTCTGCGTTCAAGATGCTGCTGTTTGTAATCCTACCTCCTTCTGTTGTAACTCTAACTGTGCAGCCTACACTTTTTGTTTCCTCCATTTAGAGTTGAATTGAATTATTTGGGGAATATTTTATGAATTGTGATTTTTATGTTTAGATTTAGACAGTTTTTCTTCTTTTTTAGGTATTCACAGTGTATTTGTTTCAGGCTGGAACTGCTAAAAAGCCTCAAATGTGAAGTGACAAACTAAAACACAAATCAGACTTCAGAATGTTTGTATGGAGCAAAACTACAGAGTGAGCTGTTTTTATGCAGAATAACATTTTTTTTAAGATTTTGTTTGTGGAAGAAATCATAGTACTTCATTTATAATCATAGATATCACTCCTGGTGCAGTAGTTAGAGTACTGGTACTTGTCCACTAACCCGGAGGTCTGTGGTTTCATTGTGTCTTTAGATGAGACACTTCACTCACATTTCCTAGCAGTGGTAGGAGAGGCTGCTGGCAAAGATACACAGCACTTAAAGGAATAACATACTCTAGAAAGGTTTTGCATTGAACCGTCTTTTTGTCTCTTTTGAAATGTTATTGAAATGTCATTTTTAAACATATTTGTTTGATTCATTCATCATGAATTAGTTCAAGGAGCAAATTCGTCCCTCAGCCATCAACCTTGGTGTCAGTGTAGATTGTGGTTTTAAACTTAACAAGCAGCTCAATTCTGTTGTTAAATCCAGTTTTTATCACCTTCGTCTTTTATCTTTTAATAATTTTAAACAGGTCCTGCACGCTTTTATCTATACTCGTCTAGACTACTGCAGTTCACTCCACACAGGAATCAACCAAAACACACTTCATCGCTTGCAGTTAGTCCAGAACTCTGCTGCAGAGTCCTGCACGGGTCGGGTACGGGCAAATTTTATGCAGGCGGGTAATAATTACACATGGGTGGGTCAGGTCTAAACCAGGTCTAAACCAGGTCTAAACCAGGACTAATATTGGACTTAAGAGACAGAACCCCGAGCCCGTGGAGCAGGGTGTCTGCAAAGCGCGATCGGGCGACGGCTGCGCTTACGTTCGTGAGTTGCGGAGCTCTGCGTGGGTCCTTTCTCCTGCAGTCACCTCCGAGCCCATCCCAATAGTGAGTCCTGGTTTAGTCCTGGTTTAGTCCTGGTTTAGTCCTGGTTTAGTCCTGATTTAGTCCTCTTTGTTCAGTCCTGGAATCAGTCCTAGGTTAGTCCTGGGTTAGTCCTGGTTTAGTCTTGGTTCAGTCCGTGGCGTAGGCTGCGCAAATGTTTGATATAATCTCGGGTTAACGGGTGGGTGCGGTGCTGTACTGTGTGATTTTAAGATTTTATAATTTGTTTTTAAAGCTTTGAATGGACTGGCCCCACAATTCATCTCAGACCTCATCCTGATTTACACCCCCGCATGCACTCTGAGGTTCGAGGGTCAGCTCCAGCTCGGTGTTGCCTAAAACAAGACTTAAACCCTTCTCTGTGGCCGACCTCAAACTCTGTAACGCTCTGCCCCTTCATGTCCGAACAGCCCCCACACTGGAGTGTTTTTAAATCTCATTTTAAGACCCACTTTTACTCTCTGGCTTTTAATACCATGTGAGTTGTGTCCTCTTTTATTTATTTATTTTATTTATGTATTTATTGTTTTTATCTATTTTATTTTATTTTAGTACTGCTTTTATGCATTGATTTTATTATTTTTGTTCATTGATTTTATTATTATTATTTTATTTATTGATTCTATTAGTTTTCTCATGGTTGGAACATAATTCTTCTCTCTTTTTTTTTTTTTAAGAGTCAGGATTAAATGTGCTATACAAATAAAGTTGGATTGATTGGATTATTATGTTACTCAAAAATACCTAAAGATACGTGCATTCTTACTGTAAGATGTGCTACCTCTCCACAGATCTGACCAGTAACTCGTCCTGGTGGCGTCATCTCTTTGTCAACATAGATACAGACATGTTCCAGGCCATACTGTGGAACATTCTAGACAAAACAAATAATGTCCCCATGGAGACAATTAAGTGTCAAGGCCCAGACCCTCCAGCAGAAGTTACGCAGTGCACCTTTAAATGTGTTGACTCCGTGTTTTCCAAGGTCATGTCTCCGTGTTACAGCATTATTTAGTCTCTGGTGTAATCCTGTGTCTTCTGTCATCATGGGAACGACCCTGGACCTAAGTCATTCACGGTCCATAAACACATCAGACGCCTTCAAGGACTTCACTTCAGAGAGGGCAAACCGCTACTGAGCATGCAAGATAATTTAAGCTTGCATTTAATTGAATATAAAATAATAATAGTGTATATATATAAAATAACTTGTGTTTTTAGAAGTGTAGTTGAAAATGTGAATTTTAATTGCTTTTAGTCCGAGATTGCACAAAGTTGATGATCCATAAAAACCAGGACAAACTACAAAACAGCCATTATAGAGCAGCCATTATTTCACTAAATGGTGCTATCAAAACATTTGTTTTTTATGTTTTACAGGTACGAATGTGGATGTGTATGGCTGGGATATGTGTGGGTGTGTGAGGTTTTGATGTACTTTTTTTTTTTTTTTTATGTAGAGACTCTATCTTTTTATTTTTTATTATTTATTTGTTGCTGCCTTTGCACAGAATGAGGACTGCACTTAATTTTGTTGTAATTTTGTTGTTACAATGAAGATATTCTTCTTCTTGACTCTTGTGAGTTTTAAGCCATGTTAGTAAAAACACACCTGGAGTTGTGTTTTGTTTCAGTCACACATGTTTGTGTAATTATTTTTTAGTTGTTATTATTAGTCTGTTTTACATCTCCAAAGCACAAAATGCAGCTACAACTACTTTTTATCTTGTGTTCAGTAGGGGTGTAACGATATCCAAATCTCTCGGGACGATATTATCACAATATGCATCTGACGGTACGATATTTATTGCGATATTTTGGAGAGGCTGATATAATTGTAGATAGGACACTTATTTTGCTTTGAAATACCTTGACAAGATTTTGGTGTGAATTATTTCCTTCATAATCTCAAGAATTCAAGTAAAAACATTTCTTCATTTCTTTGGTTGAAACATGTTGGCTTTGGCCATCTAAAAAAAGGCCTTTTAACTATATTTTTCCTCGAGCAATTTTTACTTCTTTGGAGTGCCTGGAGTCCGTTGTGTTTTAAGTTTTGATCCTTTTTCCAAGAGCACCCTCACTCTTGCTTCCACTGATTGGAACACCTGCAGCATACAGCCACATTTTAGTTTTTTCTGTACATATTTCTTCATCATGTTTGCACTGAAATGAATCATGGGATATGTAGTTCTGTATGTTTATAAGCTGTTTCTACTATAAAACCATGCATTTAGGCAAGGTCACTTGTATTTCGATATATTGTGACAGCCCACGATATTATTTTGAGACTTTTGACAATACGGTATCATGATATTTCGGTTATTGTTACATCCCTAGTGTTCAGTAGAGATTGGAAATTACAGGGCTGAAGTTATCCAAATGATTCCATTGAAGATGCATGGAGTTTACCACATGATATCACAAGTGTTTTCAGTTTGCCTAGATATGCAGGGTTTATGTGCTAAACGAATGAAACAAAACAATCTCTGGATTTGTTTGTGATGAGGAACCAGCATTATAATATGGTAATATGGTCGCTTTAAAGATGAGGGCAGGAAAATCAAAATAAAAAATGACTCTCTCCTTCTCTCTAGGTGTGTGGGCGTTGGGCGGTTGCCAGATTGACTGAAGTTACTGAAACCTGTTGAGGGGATTCATCGCAGTGACTGAGAGGGAGCTCTGAGCAGGTGAGAGCTGACACCAGACTTCATTATTTACTTCATTCCTCATGTCTTGGTTATTTTTTAACTTGCTGGTTCCTGGTTCTGACTCTGGCACTTCGCAATTGTTACTATGCACAGTCACTCGCTGTGTTTTATTGCTCTGTGTAATAAGAGTGTAGTATAACTTAAAATATTGGTGCAGTTCAGTGGCAAATTTTTATTTTGTGTTTTCCATGCAATAAATAAACAAATATTCAAAGAGGTACAGGTAGTGTGTGGGGTTGTAAGTGTCAAAAATCAGATACTTACTGATCCAAAAAGTAGTATTGATACATTTATTTATTTATTTATTTTGCATATATAACATGACAATAAAAAGAAACACACTAGATAAAAAGTAGGTGCCGAAAGAGGCAAAAAACCCAATAGGGCTTATATTAAAGCCTCCACCTTATGAATACATTAAAACTTTTACATTATCATTGTGCATAAAAATGTATATATTAAAAAATTACATTTAAACACCATGCATTAAATTCTTTTGATTCAAACATGGATTAAAACACAATAAAAAAAATCCACAATTGAAAGATTATCAAACATTGAGGAAATGTTTAATATTTCATGTTAAACTCTTTTTAAACAACGCCTCTGAACTGCCGTCACTAACCAGATGTGAAAACTGACTCCAGAATTTACAGCCTCTGAACACACATACATAAAGTCACATTCACAGGACAGAAATGAACCTTTCCTGAAGAGCTTTAGAATGATCTTGAGCTGTATCAGAACAAATATAAGAGCACATAGACTAATATACGTCCATGGACCACTGAGGGATTACACAGATATAAGACCACATGGAAAAATAACACTCATTTAATGTTGAAAATCACAATCTATTGTCTCACAGAATTGTGTTCATTATTATCATCCTGGTAGGGCTGCTTGATTATGGAAACAATCATTATCATGTTTATTTTGGTCAATATTGAAATCACGATTACTCAAACGATGATTTTTTTTAGTTACAGGATGCATTTATTCAGCATTTCTCTCTTTCAAGAAAAAACCCCACTTTGTTATTATTGACAATTTACGCAAAACTTTCAAATTGAAAATAAATATAGGCTACAAAAATAGAACTTAGAGCAGTTTTGCAATGTATAAAACATAAAATGAATAAAATCAGGGTAGCCGCGGGGTCTTAAAAGTCTTAAAACGGTCTTAAATTTCATGTACCTAAATTAAGGCCTTAAAAAGTCTTAAATTTTGTTGTCCAAGTCTTATTTTTTTCACAAAGTTCTTAAATTTCATTAGCCTATTTAATTGTTTACTCAACCGGGCTGCAGTGTGAGGTTAAATGGAGGGAAGAAAAAACAACAACGTGAACAATTAATAAACAATCAGTAGAGGTTTAATCCACAGTGACTTTGGTGGTTTTGGTGTTTTTCGCTTGCATATTGGGAGCGATGTTGATCTTAATTTTCATTAAATGGTCTTAAAAAGGTCTTAAATTCTTAAAATTGGAGTAGTCAAATCTGGGAATGCCCTGAAAATATACTTTGAACATGAAATAAGGCATAGAAAAACATCAATGTATCCAAATAATATATATATCCAGCTGTTCTACAATCTCTATATTAAAAAAACCCCAAAAAAAACATATTTATATAAAAAATATCCCAAAATAAACTTTGTTAAGCTAAATAATTTCAACTCGATTATATGAGTTTGGAGATTGTTTGATACACAAATCTAAATCGTGATTAAAATTCAATTAATTGCACTTACATCCTGGTATCAGAATCACTTTTTATTATCGAGTCTATTTTTAGTATCATGCAATTAGTCCTAGTGTGACTCATTACTAGTTTTGCACAGTATAGAAACAATTATATTTTATGGTGGATCCTGCATGTCACACAAAATGTATGTAAGTTTTCATTTAAAACGTCTAATAAATTCACAAAGGCTTTTATTAAGAGTTTTTAAAAGATTATTTCATATATTACAAATCCTTTTAGGGAAACCTTCCTCAAATAGCATTACCTTTTTTGATTAACTGCTCTGATTACCTTTTCCACGATTTATTTATAGTGATAATTACAAACATATATCGCAAAACCTGTCACGTGCAAACCAATCGCAGAGTTTGTTACTAGGACTTCACTGGAATTTTGCCAGAACAACCGAGAGCTAATGGAAGAAGTTAATCAGAGAAGGCAATACAATTTGAGAAAGCTTCTGAATAATGTATAAAGAATAATGCATAATGAATAAAGTACAGGGTGTTTAAAAATCAGTCTTTTAAAAACTCTTTAAATAAAAATACTTGGGGGAAAAATACCACATATTACACAGATTTGCAACAGATGTATAGACGTAAGCAAAAAAGCTAAATATTATTGCAATTATAGTTATAGTTAAGCTTGGTTTTTGAGCCATTCATAAAAAAATGAGACCATGCGTAATTGTTTTTATTCTTTGGAAACCTTTACCCGTTAACTCTGTACATTCATCGCTCATTGATTTTATTCCACCTCATACAAGATCGTGGTGCGGCAAAAATATATAGCTTTGAATCACAATTTCAATTATTTTTTTCCATTATTTCTTAAACGGATGAGCCCTTGAAGTAGCCACATCAGCCGTACATCACTTTTATGAGTCACATGACCAGGGAAAAGTCACGTGACCGGAGTTATAAATAGAAACGGATGAAGGTTGGTCAGAGGACATTGAAGCAACATTATGTAACTTACCCAGTCTATAAATAACATCAGCCTCAGTCCCATTTTCTTTATATGAAACGAGACATTTTTTTCACTGGCTATTTTTAAGACGGTATTGGCCTGTAGGGGCTGAACACCACAGCGGGGGGGAGGACTGGGTGGAGATGGTGGAGAGCAGGCTAATAGTTGGCGTTTTGAGTCAATATTTTCCTATTAGTGTATTGTTTTTATATGATTTCTTTCTTTTCCTTAATTTAAAAGGTTCATTTCTAGTCAAAACTATGCCAAATATTTTTTACATTTTTTCAGATTAAATTTCAGGGCTCATTCAATATTGTCACTTTTATGTACTACATTTTCTTTCAATTAAGATGTATGTTTTTTCATTTTTTTGTGTGTGTTCGCTTATTGTAAATATATGAAAAGTGCTTATTGCAAGTATAAAGACTTAAATTTGAAGATAAATAGATGGGTTTCTCATTTACAAACATTCAGAGATGCTGAACGGCAGAGTGGTTAACGTTACAGGTCTGTTTGAAGCTCTGTACAGTGTATGATTAAAACCGGTTTTCTAGTTGTAGACTTTTAGGTTTGTGTACACTTGCTGACACTCTTTAGAAAAACATATCATGCGGTGTTTAGATCTTAATTGTTGTTTAATTTGCTTTCATATTGACCTTATAATAACCACAGGGAGGTTAGAGCCAGTTACATCTCAGGTTACACCAGCACCTTGTTTTACCGTCACTGTTGTTTATTCACCCGGAAAGCTTTGTCAAGACTGAATGTTACGATGTCAAAATTATCCATTGATATCATAGTTTAATAAAATTACATCTCTGAGTTTTCTGTCTGCTTTGCATTTGCATCATTATAGCGGCTTGACCTAATGAGCCTGTGCGAGCGAGCAGTCAGTCAGTTCATCTACAGGATTATCAAATGTGTGTACAGAGAAATTTTAAACGAATGAGCTATGTGAATGGTTAACGCTTCATAGGACGCTGACATCATGTCCAACAAATTCGTGAAAATTTCATACAATGTAGTAATATGTTTTTATTGAGCTTCAATAAACGGAGTGCCGCTTACTCTTCTACGTAGCCGTCGCCAGACTCAACATCTCAACATCCAGTTAGAATTATTCTGGCCTTTCTGAATCCCGACAGGATGGTTACGGTTGTCACTGAAGTTCAGGCTTTGTCGACTCATCCAATGACTTCCAGGAAAGTTACATGGCGCACCCGCCCGGTTGCTCCATTCCCGCTTTCCGCCAATCCCTCACAAGTTTCTCGGTCACTCCAAACTTTCTTTCTGCTGCTCGATTACTGTTTTCGGCTGCATATTTCACTATTTGCAGCAGGACAGCAGGCTTACTACTGGCACACAAGAGTAGAGCCTCTCGCGGCTGTCTGTCTGAAACTTTTAATATATAAGTCGCACCGGAGTATAAGTAGCATGACCACCCAAACCATGAAAAGTGCGAATTATTGTCCGAAAAATACGGTAATTTACGACCTGTCATAATTGACTACTATACTGTACTGTTCTTGCCTAAATGTTCTATGACTGTGCACAGTAGAAGAGGCTAAGTTTGCTAGTTTAGGATTTCTAACAAATGACACAGAAACACTGAATAGTTCCGATCATGCTGGTAAGTAAGTTGGTCCACAGCAATGGGCACCACTTGCCTGATCCATATACTATTCTCACTTCTGTTTGTGCAATTAACACAAAAACTTCTCATTGTAACAAGGGAAATGCTTCTGTGTATTTGTCTATGTATCTGTCTGTTTATCTTTTGCTCCTCGACTTCATCTATATGCATTCTATTTAGTATGAAGTAGTTTAGTAATAGTTTAAAGCCACAATTGAGACTAAACAGCCCCATTGTAACTATTATCCAAGACGTGGTGGTTTTCAGTCCAAAAACTTTTCAAATTTGGTTAAACATTGTAATAACTTATTGGTTTAGAAAGTTTACAGTTTATTTAAGAAGATTGTGAGTTCTTCTTGTGGTCATTAGTTGGCACATAGCTTATTAACCCCCTGCAACTTTTAAAGAAGCTATATTATGCTTGTGTTTGGTATATAGTTATAATCTGACAGTGTACATGCATCATTATTTTATAATTTGGACATTTTAAATTGAAATCTTGATCTAAACCGACTTGATAAAAGATACTAGTCTGCTGATTTACGCATTAGAAAACTGCAGTGTCTAATGTGTGCATTGTATTTATATCAATACACTAATTGTATTGATATAAATACAATGTCAGAGAGAGATGACATTTATGACGCTGCCATAAATGTCATCACAACAAAGAGTCATGCAGTTGTTGGCCCCTCCTATGGATAGTTGAAGGTTTTTTCCTTTGAAATTAAATTGGAGAAAATACAGAGCAGTGAGTGTATGCTGGTAGCGTTGAAAACCGGGGTTGATTTGTTAAAAGCTGTAAAAAGTTTATTTCCACTTTATTTATTTATTTAGAAATGCGTGAGAAATTTACTTTTGGAAACTTTTACTGTGCGGTCACTGTTGTGCAACATTGTGGACTCTGGACAAGTATTTAGAGTATTTCCTTCGGCAGATCTGAAGTGTGTCAAATCTGAATACGCCTGATGCTGTGTTCTGAAATGTGCGGTATTCAGTTTGTTCTTCCTGTTTTTTAGGGGCACCGCAGCGGCAGGGTGGAGCTTCCTGACTCATGGAGAATTACTTCCAGGCCGAAGCCTTCAACCTGGACAAGGTGCTGGACGAGTTTGAGCAAAATGAAGGTGAGAAAACTCTGCCTACACAAACTTACTTGATGTCTTCTGTCACCATATCCTGTTTTATACCATCCCACTACTTAACTTTTAGGAGAGTTAAAGGTATGCCCTGTGCATCACTTAATCCACTGAAACGAATTTGTTTACGAAGTACTTAAAAAAACATGTAAGTTTGTTAAAAGTATTGAAAATTAGATATTAATTGATACTAAAACTACCTAATTTGAGCAAGTTTTGATACTTAAAAAAAAAAAAGTCACATTCACTGGACCTTTCTTCTAAAGAAAGTCACATTCACAGGACAGAAATAAACCTTTTCTGGATAGATTTAGAATGATCTTGAGCTGTATCAGAACAAGTATAAGAGCACACAGACTAGACACAGATAGAATGAGGGAGAGATACTTTATTGATTCAGAAGGAAATTCAAGTTTTGCCGCATTTCTACTGTGTCTCAGTCAAAGGTCTCAGTGCAGTTTAACAGGAGGACTGGTCAGGCAGGGTCAGCAGATCCTGTGGAAGAGCCGAAAATGTCCTGCAGCATCACAGCAGTATCCAGGGGTACCAGGTGAACACAACAGGAAAGACCTCATTCTTACTCCGCTCTGTGGTTTCAGTCAGTGATGAAATGGTTATAGATAAAATAAGTGAAAAGGCCGAGAAGTCACTCAAACAACAAGCTACAAACATGTTCCAAAATGCATGCAGGGTGATCTGTGTATCATTCGTTCATTTGTTTTTCAATGTAAAACCAACAATAAATGAAAAAGCAACTGTTTTCTTCTTTATTTGTCTCTAAAACCAAAATTAAAAAACAGATAACAATTAGTTTTTTCAGTTTTTGATTTTGTGTTTAAATGAATAATGGAAAAAAGGATAACGGCCGTTTCCCAGTTCCGTAACTTAAACTGCGATGCCGGTCTTTTTTGCTGCATATGGACTGAACAGGGACTGGACCAGATCTGGGGCTGAGACCGGGGCTGAGACCGGGGCTGAGACCGGGGCTGAGACCGGGGCTGAGACCGGGGCTGAGACCGGGGCTGAGACCGGGGCTGAGACCGGGACTGAGACCGGGACTGAGACCGGGGACTGAGACCGGGACTGAGACCTGTTTAGTCCTGGTTTAGTTCGTATGTGACAGAAAAGTCCGGCATCGCAGTTTAAGTCACGGAAACAGGAAATGGTTGTTATTCGTTTTTTCCATTATTCATTTAAACACATAATTGAAAACTGAAAAAACGAATTGTTATCCGTATTTTCATTTTGTTTTTTGAGACAAATAATGAAGAAAATTGTTGTTTTTTTCATTTTCTTATTTTTGGTTTTATTTTGAAAAACAAATGAACGAGTGATACACAGATTCAGAGTTCCCACGGTCATGGAAATCCTGGAAAAGTCATGGAATTTTAGCATCTCTTTCACACAACGACAGCGTTCTGTTATGTTATCATTAGGCTATTATGATTATTTCCGAACGTCTGCGCCTTTTGTTTAAAAGAAACAATAATAAATGCACTGACAGTATAATGAATGTTAAAAAACTATAAAACCAAACCATAAAGTGAGTGGAAAGGATTAACATTTCATATTTAGCCCTAAAAGTCTAATCAATTCTACACATGTAGGTGCTGTAAAGTCATGGAAAATTCACTTTAGGTCATGAAAAAGTCATGGAGCAGTTTTGAAATTTTGTCAGTGAAAGAGTGGGAACCCTGTGCATGAGATTCTTTCAGTTCAGATTTCAGGCAAATTTTAATGCTTCTGGAGTTGTTTACAATGTGCAAAAAATATGTCGCCATTCTAGCCACAATTGCAGTACTTGTCACCATAATTTGTATGGTGTTGATTTGCAGTTCCATCAATAAAACATCTCCACACTGTACACAGCTTTCTAGTCTTTAAATAATCCATATCACCACGGTTCTCCTTGGACTTCTAGCATTCCCGTCTTCGCTGCCACAGTTTGATCGACAGCTCCCCAGAGTGGCTCAAGTGTGGCCCAATTTCTCACTGTGTCCCAGTCCATTCACGAGGCGCTAATTTCACACTCCACGCTAACCTCGTTCCTGCTCTCATCTGATTGTTCTTCTTAAATCACCTGGGAGCCCGCTTCACTGTGGCAGATCATTTAAAGCTTCCTGTCTCAAAGTAATGGGTCATGAACACTTTATGAATACTAATGGTTCAGGTGAAATACTCTTTACTTAAGTTAAAGGGCCCGCTGTTTTCTGAACGGAATAATGTTTTAATGTTCTTTCTTCATCACAAACATTCCTGGAGTTGTTTTGTTTTCTTTTGTTTCACACATATCACATAATTTAGGGCCTTTAAAGCAACACTGTGTAGCTTTTATGGTGCACCTGATTGGAGATGTCAATACTTTGCCTGAAATATTTCATAGTAAAGCATAAAACATGACTGCCTTTCCTTCATTCAGGCGTTTTATTGGTAAAAACGAAAACCCTCTTCTCAATGTGAGCGGGGTCCTCTCGTAGATCTGACCTGTAACTTGGGCTGGTGGGCATCTCTATGGAGACAGAGAAGTTTAATGCCATAATGTGGAATACTTGCGGACAAAGCAATAACATCTCCATGGAGGAAAACAAGTGGCAGGCCCTCAAACAGAGAAGTTATATGCACCAGCACTTTTTAATCTCAGAGTTTATTCCTAAATATTTAAAAACATCAGACAGCAGTATGTTATTAGGTTCCTTTGTCAGATAAAAAAATAACCTAATAATCTAAGAATTTGGTCTGAAAAAAAGAACCTAATAACATAAATTAGTGGAAGACCAAATGAACCTCGTTAGACTATCAGACAGCAGTAGTTCTTGGAGACCTTTTCCACCTCTTCTGATGAGAACACTTAAATTTACCCACTTTGTCTACTACAGCAGGGCATCTGGCATAAATGTTTACTAAATCACCATACAATTGTCTTAATTTCCTCTGCCCCCCACTGGGAGCAATTTATTTAATTGCTGCCCCTTTTAAGTGTTTGTTTAAAATCCTGTCTGTTCACTGTAAATTGTATAGGAACCCTGCCACGCAAGATCAAGAAGTTTCCACTTTTCTGCAACTAGTGTCAGAATCAAAATAAAGTTTGAAGTTTTAGTATTATAAGGAATAGATTTATACCAATTCCAATTACACGATAATAAAAAAAGTACTTTTTAAGACAATAAAATGTGATTTTCAACATTAAATCATAGTTATGTCTTTTATATGTCCATGTCCATGTGGTCTTTATATCTGTGTAATCCCTCAGTGGTCCAGGTAGGTTTCATGGTCCATGGGCACATACTAGTCTTTGTGCTTTTAAACTTGTCTGATACAGCTTAAGATTATTCTAAAACTATTCAGGAAAGGTTCATTACTGTCCTGTGAATGTCACTTTCTGTAGAAGAAAGGTCCAGTGAATGTGACTTTTTTTAGTTAATTTCTGTCCTGTGAATATGTCTTTTTTTTTATCAATACCTGCTCAAATGTGTATCTAGTTTCGATGCTAGTTTTAATATCTGTTAATATCTGATTTTCGATACTGTCCTGAATAGGGATGTGCAAAAATATTGAAATATCCATATATCGTATAGTTTAATGTCATAATACAGTATCGATATCATGGGCTGCAGTATCGATATGTCACGTCATGAGTATTTTTAGGTATATTTTATTAAATTATTTTGCGTAAGAGCTACAATTGCGTTGACATTTTCACCGTTATTGATGAGTAAAATGGGTGTTTTTCATATTAACTTTGCAGAAACTCAATGGACTTAGGTCATGGATGTGATACTAAAAGTTCACTATCTGCAATCCAGAAGTTTCCATTACATTACAACTGCGCACAAACCACTTGATAATAATAAGAATGATAACTGTTTAAAAAAGCTCACAAATAAATTCATTACAATACAAAAAAGACATGCATATTATACCAAAATCTCTGTAGTTTGTGTAAAAATCAGTTGTGTCTATGTAAAATTATCCAACTTCTTTTCTCTCTCTTCCAGATGAAACAGACACTCCGATCCTCTCCGACGCCAAGTGGACTCAGATCCTGGCTCCGCCCCCTCACCTGCTCTCTCTAAACCCCGCCCTGGCCCACGCGGACCTGAGCCCGGGGGACAGTCCTCTTCCCTTTAAGACCCTCCCCCCGGACTTCACCCCCTCCACCACCACCACCACCCCGCCGTCCAGCCTCTCCCCGGGCGCCGATCCCAAACGCCACCCCAGCTCCGAGCATCCGTCCTGGAGTGAGGAGAGACCCGCGGACGTCCACAGCCCTCCGCTTCCGCAGCCCAATATCGGCAAACTGGTGGGGGCTGATGATTTGTCACCTCCTCCAGTGAATTCTTGCGAAAATGGGGGCTCACAAGATTGCGTTTCGTTACGGGACGGGCAACCTGCTGCTCCGGAACAACTGTCCTCAAGTCAAGAGGAGAGAAATGATTCAACACGTTTTAGTTTTGAAGTAGGAGCACAAAATGGCGACGTTGAGGACACTACAGAACAAGTTGAATCCAAACAAGATATTTTGAATGGAGAAGGTTGCAGTGAATCGGATAGCGTTGACGCAGAAAAGGAGATTAAAGCGAGTTCAGATGAGGAAGCAAAGGAAGAATCACACGTCACGAATGTTTGCAATGGTCCGGTTGAAGACGCTTCGTCCCAAAGTCAAGGAACGGAGGAGGAAGAAGCAGCTGCGTCCATTTGCGTATCATCCAAAGAAGATTCGGTGACGGAAGAGAAGGAGATGGAGGAGAGCAAACAAGAAATCCAAGATGGGGGCGCGACGTCTGGCAGCGCCCAAACGAAACTGAACAACGGGCGACTGCAGCCGGTCAGCATTCCGTACGGAGGAGCACGTCCCAAGCAACCGGTCAACCTCAAACTGCAAATCCCTCAACCTTTATCGAATCATGTCCAAAATCAACTCGGGCCGTCAGCGGTGAACAGTAAAAACAAAAATCTAGAAAGTCAAAATCGAAAAAGCGCAGAGTTGACGGAGGATACGAGTACGCTAAACGGGGATGCGATTTCTAACTCCACACCGCAGCCCGAGAGTCCTGATAATGATGTCCAGGCCGGTCAGCAGGGGGCGCTGTGCAGGAAGATCTCACTGGGAGAGGTGGCCCCGGTCTGGGTGCCCGATTCGCAGGCTCCCGTGTGTATGAAGTGTGACGTCAAGTTCACCTTCACCAAGAGGAGGCACCACTGCAGAGCCTGTGGCAAGGTCAGTGCACAAGAGTCACAAAGAGTAGATAAAACTATAAACTTAGTGGGAGATGTTTTATGTTCAGAATCTGCTAATGTCACAGTACTAAAATTTCATTGTCCGTTTCGATAAAGGAATAGACGATGATAATAAAAAACAATAGAATCTTAGACAATAGAATCTTATTGAACACATTCAAGAATAGACCTTTTTCACAACGGCCGGAAGTGCCGCGATGTAGGGTAAACATCACTGACGTTAATGGTTTTCTGTGGCAAACTATCTGTGGAAATGTCTCGTGTATTTTCCACCAGCTTCATAAATCTGCCCCATCACCAAATCTTCATCCAACAAGGCCGACAAAGGACATATTCTGTCCATGAAGAATTTATCCACAATTATCAAGGTAAGAAAGACGAAAACTTAAAGGCGAACAATAACTAGCATTAGTGAACTACTCCAAAATGTAGATATTGGCATAGAGAGATTTGTGCATTTTGAATGCGAGACATCTATGCCAGGGGTGTTCAAACTTTTTTCATCAAGGGCCACATATCTAAACACAAATGAAGCAGAGGGCTGATTGAGGGCCGTAGACTGGTGCTCAGTACAGTGAATAATTGAAATATGTGCATGTTTAACTCTTTAGAATGAATAAAGACTGATGGCTCATTCCAAGATCCTTAAAATCACACACTAAATATTAAATATTAGCTTTATCAAGGTAGAGTTTTAAAAAAAAAAAGTTAATTTTTGATTGGGCCAATTTAACTGGAAGCCTGAGGGCCAAGAAAAATTTGCCTGGGGCCCACATTTGTCCCACGGGCCATAATTTGGACATGCCTGATCTATGCCAATATCTACATCATGAAATAAATTTTAAATTTTAATCATAGAATCAGTCTGACTTCACAAGTTACTTATGTTTTATTCATGACCATAACATTAGTTTTGCTCAGGAGTAGTTCACTAAATGCGTCATCGTTGTTCACCTTTAAGTTTTCGTCTTTTTTACCTTGATAGTTGTGGATAAATCCTTCATGGACAGAATATGTCCTTTGTCGACCTTGTTGGATGAAGATTTGGTGATGGGGCAGATTTACGAAGCTGGTAGAAAATACACGAGACATTTCCACAGATATTTTGCCACAGAAAACCATTAACATAAGTGACGTTTACCCTACATTGCGGCACTTCCGGTCGTTGTGAAAAATGTCTATAATTCTTTCTTTTACATTACCATGTGATGTCGTATCTATGTAATCCCTCAGTGGTCCATGTCTGTCTATTGGTCTATGTGCTCTTATAATTGTTCCATGGAATTAGAAAGTTAAAACCATATTATAAAAAACATAAAAACATTCTACATTGATATAGACGCTTTTTATACCATACTGTGAAATATTACAGCTGCAGGAACGACATTTCCATGGAAACAAGCAGGAGAAGGCCTCGCTCCAGGCAAAATAAGAGTCAGGTTTGTGGAGATGAAAAGCTCACTCAGAGTAAGAAAGCATGTTTTTTGATGCAATAAACACATTCGCATCCTTGGGGCTTTAATATTATCATGAATAGGGACTCAAGGTAGCTCACATAAAAGAAAAAGTAATATTTTATAATAATTTTCACACTCCTACTTTATATATATATATTTCATTTAGATGGATAGATAGATGGATGGATAGATATTCAGCAGCAACAATGATACATAATAACAATAATACATCAGTAATTCAGTTTATACAGCAGGACAGAGACAACAACTGATATTTTTGCATCCTCAACAAGTGCTAATCTGAAAATGTCTGAAAACAATCATTAAAAATGTTTATGCTTAATAAAAAAATCTCAGGATAAAGAACCAGTACAGAGTTAAAATATTCTGTTGGACGTGGAGCTGGTCCTGATTTGAACCTGGTGTATTCCTCTCCCCTCACATGAGCCCTGTCTCCTCTCCTCTCTGGGTTTTTCACTGAAGTCGCTGACAGCACCGATTTCTAGACTGTGGAGCTTCTTCTTTTCCCTGGGTGGTAAACAAACACTGTGGGGTCTGAGCCGACAGGAGCTGGCTCTGCAATACCACACCGAGTCTACACAGGATGAACTTATACAGCAGAGGCACTTCAACCCACTCAAATACTTGTATACCCGTAATACCGTGGAAAAGTGCTCCAACGCTTCTTGGATTAAGTTTTTTCTTATTAGCCACACTTTAGCATTAGTGTCCATGTCAAAATTCGCAATATTCATCTAAAACGCTCTAGAAAACTGATGTGCCCAATGAAAGCTGACGCCGCCGTAAACATTATCACAACAAAGACTCTCTATCTCCAGTGCATGGCTGTGAATCCTGCCAGTGAGCAGCAGATTTTTTTTTGTTTTTTTATTTGTACCAAAATAACTACATGACGTTGTGGAATTGTTGTGTATCATAGATTTTAAAAATACCATTGGAGAATGAAGTGAGTAGAGAGCAATGGGCATATGGGCGAAATCGTGCAGTGATCAGTACAGGTCTGCAAAAATATTGAAATATCTATATATCGTGTCGTTTAATGTGATGATACAGTATTGATATCGTGGGCTGCTGTATCGATATATCACCAACACAATTTTTTGGTATATTTTACTAAATTGTTTTGTTGCTTGTTTAGTGGAAGGAAACTCATTTATGCAACACATTTGACATTTTCATATTTTGATGATTAAAATGTTTGTGTTTTATATGAGCTATCCCCCCTCCTCCGGAGAGATCCCAAGGCGTTCCCAGGCCAGCCCAGAGACATAGTCCCTCCAGTGTGTTCTGGGTCTTGCCCATGCTTTGGACATGCCCAGAACACCTCTCGAGGGAGGCGTCCAGGAGGCATCCAGAGCAGATGCCCGAGCCACCTTAACTGGCTCTTCTCGATGTGAAGGAGCAGCGGCTCTACTCCGAGCTCCTCTTGCGTGACTGAGCTCCTCACCCTATCTCTTAGGGCGCGCCCAGCCACCCTGCGGAGGAAACTAATTTTGGCCGCTTGTATCCATGATCTCGTCCTTTCAGTCATTACCCAAACCTCATGACCATAGGTGAGGGCAGGAACGTAGACTGATGGTAAATCGAGAGCTTTGCCTTTCGGCTCAGCTCTCCTTTAACCAAAACAGTCTGATACAGCGACCACATCACTGCCAACGCTGCACCGATCCACCTGTCAATCTCACGCTCCATCCTCCCCTCACTCATGAACAAGACCCCGAGATACTTGAACTCCTCCACTTGAGGCCGTATTGAATCAATTTGAAATATATCGTTTCAAATCAAAAGTTCACTGCAGTGACATATGTATCGTATCGGAAACTTACTGATACCCGGTGACCGGCAATATGGCGTCTGGAAAATAAGTGATTAAAGATTACTTTAACCTCCACAAATCACTTCAAATGCAACTTTGGATGAATAAATGGAGAGGGGAAACTATAACATGGTTAAAAAGTCTAAAAAGTCAATTTTACAGAATATGTTTGCTTTAATCAAATGTCTTTCATAATTTTAACCTGGACGTCCCTTTTGTTTGGTTTGTTTTTCTGGGCCTGGACTGTAGAGTAATTTACTTATCTTAGACTAATTTGAGTAAACATTTAGCAGACATAAATGCAAATAGCCTTTTCGGTTGTAAAATGCCAGCTAATGAAGCGCGCTAATGAATTGCATCCTCCATTCTCTGTGTAATCGTCTCAATACAAACGTTAGTGATAATTACGTGTAATGGGCCTCCGCTAATCCATCGACCGCTAAGCTAACGGCACAGGAAATCAATGCCCAGGAAATGCTACATTAATCACGACTTCAACCTTTACAGACTCGCACACAGCCAACGCAGAATGGTCTAGAAAAAGAATGTAATTGTGGTGACATTGAATTGTATTGTATAGAGGTTTCATTCATGTCCTACAATTTGATTATGTCATAATTTCAGAAGGAGGACAAAGGCAGATTCACTGTTTTTGATAGAAATCTCCAAACTTATGATCCACAAATGTCGAAACGTATTATTATTTGTTTGAGATTGCCTCCACAAACTTGTCATATTAATGGTTCGGTCCTTTCAACTGACAACAATCACGTCTTTGGGGTTGAAAAATGGCAGCACTTTCTGAAGCTACTGTCAAAAGATAATTTCACTTTTATTTATTTATGGTGACAGACATGACGTTGAACTTTGCACCAGTTTTTGTGTCAAGTGGAAAGGTCTGGTAACTTCAGAGACACGAACCATAAACCAGGTCAACAAATCACTGCAAATTACACGACTGAATTCTGACCTGTCCTCGAGCTCAGCGTTAAACTATCGGGACTGTACTTTGTTGTCAAGTGAACTCAACCTGTTGTCTTGTCTTTAGGTTTTCTGTGCGTCCTGCTGCAGTTTGAAGTGCAGACTCTTGTACATGGACAGAAAAGAGGCTCGTGTCTGTGTGACGTGTCATTCAACTCTGACGAGTGGTGAGTGGAGAAGAAATGTTTAAAATGCACTTTTTCTACATATTTGTGAATGACTTTCATACCTTCACACATACAATACTTTTCTTTTAGAATTTTAACACCTTAAATAACTTCTTTAATGTCTTTTTTTCCCCTTTTGAGTTGTTTTTCTTCAATGGTCACATATTGAAAAAGACCACCTAAGGGTCAATACTGAATCATTCAAAAAATTACCTGTTTTCTGAGGTTTCTAAGTGCCACCACAACTTAAAGGTCTAAGACTGAATTAATCTGGTATATCTCACATCAAAATGATTAGTTCTTTCATTTAATACTAGCAGTAAAAAGTTCTTCCCAGAATAATTTGGGCCATTACACCAGAAAGCCTGAGGACCAAGAAAAAAAAAAAAGCCTGGGGCACAAGGGCCATAGTTTGGACTAGTCAGGTTCGTCGGCCAGTTTCACTTTGTGGAAACCGTCTGACCTCGCAGCGTTAGGATTTGTTTACTCGATGGTAGGCAGGTACTTTTTTTATTTGGTCCTGAGCTAGTCACTGGAGTGAAATGAAATTGAGCAGAGGCACTAGGTGGCACCAGCCCTGAACACCCTTCAGCTAGAAAAATTGGAAATTGATTTTGACCTTCTTTAAATTGTTTATTGTTGATTTCAAAGAAAACATATCTGAGTAAAATTTCAACATTTATTTTTGCTAAGTTGTCATCATTCTGAAACCCATGGATATGAAACGAGTGCTAATTCATCTATGTATGCTCTTTATCTCATGTACCTCTCTTTTCTTTGCTCCAGCTCCGTCGTCGTGGGAGACTCAGGTGTGTCCCAGTAACCAGAGTCCAAACCCCAATAACCCGTCTGAGTACTGCTCCACAGTGCCCCCCCTGCAGCAGGCCCAGGCTTCAGGAGCGCTCAGCTCACCCCCTCCCACTGTCATGGTCCCTGTGGGGGTGCTCCAGCAGAACGCCAATGAAGGTACGGCAGTCCGGTGTTCACCTTCACTAAGTACAAAATCAATGTGTCAGGCTTTGGATGTTCTGCTCTGACAAATGTTTTCAGAATGTACCAAAAATCTTCACTAAATAAACAACTTTGATATATTTAAATTTATTAAAACTACCTTCACAATTGTTTTTAGTTGTAATTCAAGTAACAATTTATGCACTTTGTCATTCCATTCAGGTTTCTAAATAAATACGTTTATTACAGAAACAGCAGAAGTATTCTATAAGCAGCTCTTGAGTTTAAAATAAGTCCACTGTGTACTGTCTTCATTTAATTATAAAGTCTTTAGTGTGATGGCAAAACTCTGCTTTGTTCTCTGAGAGTTGTGAAAAACATTCAACTTAAATTCAGTGCGGGAAATTATTAGGATGCTTGAAATGCGTAAGTTGACCTGCAAACCATTTAAAATGACTCTTAAAAAAATTTCTGTTTTTCACATTTTAAGACCGTAAAAATCAGGTGTAGCCACATTAAAATATGTTTTTCTTACCGAATTTTCTGCTTTGTCTTTCATTGTTCCCTTCAGTGTCCCTGTCCCGTGAGCAGAGGAGAGTGTGGTTTGCAGATGGAGCCCTGACAAACGGAGAGGCTTCAGAATCTCCCAAACCCCTGTCATCGCACCAGCCGCCCTCACAGTCCAGAGCCATTTCAAACAAGACCCACTCCACTGCAGCCAGCTCCGAGGTAACAAGAAGAATAGTTAGAAGTGTGGGACTAAACACTTTTACTTCGATCAAAACCACATTTCACATTGAGCTGCTGAACCGGGCAGTTGATTTAGTGTTTAGTTCCACCATTTATAACTAAAATAATTGGCCTCTAGTCAAACTGAGTCCAAATCAAAACCAGACTAAACTATGACCATAACAAAGAAAAACCGCCTTGAGAAGATCACGACAGAAATGAAACTTCTACGATGTATTGTGGGGCCCTCAACTCCTGCACTTACGTTATGTCATTAAGTGTTGACTCATTTGGCACAAAGCTTCTCCTGTGGGAAAAGTCCAGACTTGGAGACCAGCGGAAAACCTGATCAGAAGAATAACCATGCTTTTGCTTAACTAGAATTATCCCAAGAGCAAGAATTTCACTGTAGGACTCATTTAGAATTTGGTTCACAAATATCAGGACGAGCCAAAATATACGACTTCGGGCTGTTTATGCTCAGTGAACTAATGTTTTTCTAAACGCATTACAATTTTATACAGACATGCAAGACGGAGACTGAAGAATATTCCACCTGCTTTGTCTCCGTGGAGATGTTATTGCTTTTCTTGTAATGTTCCATAGTGTTACACTAAGCTTATCTGACATGCTTTTTTACAATTCCAGGTCTTTTATCGCACCAGAAACATTCATTTTAAGTGTGAGCAGGGTTCGATTCTCCGCAGATCTGACCTATAACTTAACTTAAAAGCAACACTGTGGATGCAACATTTGAGCCAAAGCAATGCCTAATTTATAAGAGATTTAATAAAGTGTAACCCAAGATCTGTGTACCATGTGATTTAAAATTGAATAAAGATTGTTAAATAAAGGATAAATGAATTAAACCATGCTCTTGGGTAAACTCTCCTGTTCTCCTCCATAGGCGTTGCAGTCTGGAGCGCCCCCTGTGGGCAGTCCTGTGGGCAGTGCGGTCAGTCTGATCCCAGAGGACGGACTTCCTCCCATCCTCATCTCCACTGGAGTCAAAGGAGGTACGGGAGGCCCCCTCACCTCAGGTGCTTCACTCATCCTCCATCCACCGCCTCTCTGTGCTCTGCCTCTGTGTCTGTATGTGTGTGTGTGTGTGTGTGTGTGTCTGTGTCTGTGTCTGTGTCTGTGTCTGTGTCTGTGTCTGTGTCTGTGTGTGTGTCTGTGTCTGTGTCTGCCTCTGTGTCTGTGTGTGTGTGTGTGTCTGTGTGTGTGTCTGTGTGTGTGTCTGTGTGTGTGTGTGTGTGTGTCTGTGTGCATGCGTGGGTATCTGTCTCTGCTTTGTGTGCGTGTGTGTGTGTATCTGCTCTGCCTTTGCGTGTATATTAGGCTTATGCGATATGGCAAAAAATGTATATGACCATTTTCTTAGATCATGATTTTGATTTGATCATGATTCATGTATCCTGTTTTTTTTTCATCCCGTTGCCTAAGAGGGTAAACAGTCATCTGCTTCTTGTGAATGTTCAGTCTGCTTTTTGATTGGTTAAATGCAGCTGTCTCTCTCTCTCTCAAAGTGTTACAGAGGTTACCCAGCAGAAGTGGGTTGGATAAAGTGTCTTTGTTTCGGCAGAAAGCTGCATTAATAGAGAAATAGTGAATCATGCGATTTTACCAAAATTGCAGATGGTCACAGGGATGAGATCACAATTTGTTTTTCATCACCATATCGCTCTAGTGTATGTGTGTCAGTGTTCTGCCTGTGTGTGTGTGTGTGTGTGTGTGTGTGTGTTTGTTATGCATGTGTCTATGCTGCTGTGGTCTGTGCATGTGATCTGATGTGATGTCTGTGGTTTCAGTGGCTTTATCACTGCTCATGTGTCATCACTGCACTCTTCGATGGGAAACATCAGGGTTCCCTCATGGCATAAAAACTGAAATTAAAAATATTAGGTTTCTTTTCTTCTTTATAAATTGTAAGGTCAACTGTTAACGTTGCCTACAGTTTTTTTGCAATGTTCTGTTATCCCACAAAGTTAATGTAACATAAACGATCATTTTATTTTTAACATCTGTCTAGTTTGTATATATACAGAGTATTATAAATGAATGGATTTTTGTCTCTTGACAAATAAAACTGTCAGGCAATAAATGTTACATTGATTTAAAAATGTGGGAACCCAGATTTTGTTTGTTCAGTTGTGGCATATTCTTCTCACTTGTCTCATCCTTTAGTTGGTGTCCTGTCCATATCTAACGTCCCTCTGCTCCATGGCGCCCCCTCTGTCCTCTCCTCAGATTACGCAGTAGAGGAGCGTCCATCTGAAGTGGTCCTAATGCAGCAGCTGGAGGAGGGCGGACCTGACCCTCTGGTGTTTGTGCTCAATGCAAACCTGCTCGCCATGGTCAAACTGGTCAACTGTGAGTCCACACAAGTGTTCTAATTCAAAATAATCAATGCATTTGTCTCATGTCCATGTGTAATACGATATGTGCCTTTTGCTTGCCTCTGTTATGTGAACCGTAAGTGCTGGTACCTGAGCACTAAGGGCATGCACGCTGTGGGACAGACCGAGGTGGTGATCCTGCTCCAGTGTCTCCCCGATGAGAAGACCCTCCCCAAAGACGTCTTCAGACACTTCGTCCAGCTCTACCAGGAGGCCCTCACCGGTGAGCAAACAACAATGAGGAGAAATGTGAAGTCGAGCGCTCAAAGATATTACAGACTGCTGAAATGATAGATTTACAATTAACAGAATGTGTTCTTTTCTCAAAACTTAATGTAGGCAGATCTGTTAAAGGGAATAGGGTCTCATTTCCTCGTGAGTCAGAGTGTTGGAGACGTGTGGAGACACTTTTTTAAATATTCCATCCAGTCCTTGTATTTGCAGAGGTCTCTGGTGCTAGACTAGTGCATGTCAATGGCCATAGTTATCCTGCCACTAAAAACAGTCTTACCCACTCCACAAAACACCCGAAGGAAATCTATTATTACACCAGACTGTCGATGTGAATGTCTGTGTTGATAGAATAATGTCTGAAATAAAACTAACCTTACATCGCATGAATCGTCGCATGTTGAGGGACTATTTTCTCATATATCAGTCCGCTGCTGTCAAGCTTTCTATCAGGAAGTACAACTCGCTGCTGCTGCTCAGACATAAATCCTTCAAATGCAAGGTTGGTTTTACTTCTAAAATGATTCTATTGACACAAATGTTCACATCGACAGTCTGGTGTAATAATCGATTTGCTTCGGGTGTTTTGTAGAGTGATTAAGACTGTTTTTAGTGGCAGGATAACTGTGGCTGTTGACATGCACTCTGCAAATACAAGGACTGGATGTAATATTTAAAAAAGTATCTTTATACGTCTCCAACACTCTGGCTCACTTGGAAATGAGTTCCTTTGTCCAAAATTCTGGACTGTCCCTTAAATTTTTGGCTTAATTCAACTTTTGTCTTTGGTAGAAGTAGTTCTAGTTTTGACTGTTTTCTCATGGACATGTCCAGCTTGTTTTTGTCCACAAAGATGTTATTGTTTTGCCTGGAATGTTCCCCAGCATGACATTAAACTTATCTATTTTGTTGGACACAAGCAGATGATGATGTTTGTTTTTGCAATACAAATTTAATAACGATGTGAAAAACATTAAGACAAAGAAGTAACATCTTTGGCTTCACCAGTAAAGTTACAAAATGCACAGTTAGATCCTTTTTTTTTTTTTAAGTAGTGATGGTTGTTGTCATATTCAGTAAACTGAGTGTAGCAGTATTTAAGCCATCAAATCACTTGAAATCATATTACAAATGTACTCTCTCCCAAAAGCATTACCTCGTACCCCTCAAATCCTGTATTAGCTCTTCTCTCCAAACTCCATTTAAGCACCATTGTCACATCACATTAAACCTGATGATATTGTGTGACATTGAGGATTCTGCCTGTGGGCTGTTTGCGTTTTCACATTCACAGAGCAGCCAGTCAAGACGTTAAACATATGGAGTCACTCATTCTTTATTAAGCCCTGTCAGTCAGATGCTGTTGTAGCATTCTGGAGATACACGGCAAACATAGGCCTATTGTGCTCGGAGCCAAATTCACTGGGCACACTGTCGACTGTTGTGGTAACTTGATAATCTAGTGGTAACACAAGTCACCTACAGCTGTTGCGTACTCTTGGTTGTGTTTGAGTTTAGTCCCAGTTTTTACATGGTGTGTGTATCGATTAATATCTGATTTTCAATACTTTTGACAGCCCTATTCTGGTTTTCAGATTCTAAAATTTAATGTCGTACTTTTAGATGGGGGCACAGCCAGATTTTCCTATTAATTTTTCTTTCAGATATGCCTTTGCAAAGTACATTATAATTAAAAAAAACTTTGTCCCTGACTATTTCTATTAGTAATGAGGACCTAGAACTCACTGTATTACAACAGAAAATTTGCATATTACCAGAAAATGGATTTTTGTCAGCTTTTAAATTAAGGCTGTGCAATTAATTGAATTTTGATCACGATTTCAATTTGTGTATCAAATGATTTCCAAGCTCACGTAATCGAGTTGAAATTATTTAAAGATTAACAAAGTTTATTTCGGAATATTTTTTATATAAATAAGTGTATTTATTTTATTTTTTAAATATAGAGATTGTCGAATAGCTGGATATATAGTTTAATTTGGATAGATTTATGTTTTTCTCTTCCTTATTTTATGTTCAAAGTATATTTTATACATCGCAAAACTGCTCTAAGGTACAGATTTGTAGCCTATATTTATTTTCAATTTGAAAGTTTTGTGTAAATTATCAATAAAGTGTTTTTTTCAGAGGGAGAAATGTTGAATAAATGCACCGTGTAACAAAAAAATAATCGTTTGCATAATTGTGATTTCAGTATTGACCAAAATAATCGTGATAATGATTTTTTCCATAATCAAGCAACCCTAATTTAAATACTATGTTGTTGCCTCAAAAAAGCTACCCAAAGTTGTGTTTTGTTTCATTCAGACATGCTTGAGTAGCTCTATTAGTCTCAATCATCTAAGTGATCCAAGTGAAGGTGTATGGAGTTTAAAAACACAATGGAGCACTTTCTGTATTACCATTAGTGTGTGACTCGGGATGAATTTTTATGTCCGAGCCCTGCCCGGGTCCGACAGAGCAGTGATCAAATTTGACCCAAGCCCGACAGACATTAAGATATCTGTGTCCCAACCCGACCGAACCCGACACAATTAAAATCACACCATTTTCATAAACCAACTGACCCACGTAGGATATTATTTGTGTGGCCTCTAACTGACACAGAGACACAAAATACAAACTCAGGACATAGCGAAATTAATGAGAAGACTTCATTACTCACCTCTCGTAAAGTGGTAAATTAAAGTGCATCATCTCATCCACATTATCCATAGAAATTGTCCTTCGCAAATAATGACACCCAGTCCACAAAACCACGCTGTTAATCCAGTTTGAGGCGTTATTTAAAAGTAAAAAGGCGAAAGTAGTTCCTCACGTGTCGAGGTGAAGCTGCAGATTATCGATAGTGACTCTACTTCCTGTGGACTTTATCACCGATCTTTTATGCTTTAAAAATCACGTATCTGAAGTTTTATACCACATTTCACAAATAATAACAACACAGTTTGACTTGTATCTAATCTAGAAGTGCAGTGCTGTGATGCTTTGAACACTTAAGAATCTCAAAGCGAGTGGTTTTATTGTAGACAGCTGACGTGCTGATGTGTCTGACCCCGACCTGAGCCGTACGTAAGTTTTAAATATTTGTCCAAACCCGTTCCGTCAGATTTTGGTTGGGTTTCTATGCTCTAATTACCATATGAAATCACATGTTGGAACAGAGTGTTTTCTGTTTGAGAGAAGAACTCATTATGCAGGGTTTTTGTGGATTAAACATGTGTGAATGAAACAAAACAGAACTCCAGGTCTGTTTGTGAAATAAATCAGAAAACAGGATACTCTAAACCCATCTCTTCTCCGTCTCTCTCGTCTGCAGGTAGCGTGCTGAGCCACCTGAGTCATTCGTTCTTCACTCAGAGTTTTCTGGGCAGCAAAGAACACGGCGGTTTCCTGTACATCAGCCCGTCGTTCCAGTCGCTCCAGGACCTGCTGCTGCCCAACCCGCCCTTCCTCTTCGGAGTCCTCATCCAGAAGTGGGAGACGCCCTGGGCCAAAGTCTTCCCCATACGCCTCATGCTGCGGCTGGGAGCAGAGTACAGATGTGAGTGCGGGGAGTGCGGCTGCCACATAAATCACAATCAAATCAAACGTGTATCTATTGGCCGAAGGTTCAGCAGTTGCCATGGTGACACAATGCACACATTAGCAAACGCAGACAAAAAAGTATTAAGATAGTCTGAAGAAAACTGAAGAAAAAAATACAAAATGGATTTAAACAGCACATTTTCCAGAGCCTGTGTTCAATACAAGCGTTCATGGTCAACTGAGCTCACCTGTTGTACTTCCTTAGACTTGGAAGAACTTTATTGATCCACAAGGGAAATTATTTGGGCACAGTAGCTCACACATAACAATAAATATAATAACAGAGAGTAAAAAATAGAAATGGTAATATAGAAAAAAAGATGATCCGGTTTCACTTTGTCAAAACCGTCTGACCTCGCAGCATTGGAATTCGTTCGCTCGACTGTAGCCAGGTACTTTTTTTATTTAACCAGTCGCTGCTATTTGGTCGTGATGTATGTAATGCGCCAAATCTCGTAGGAAGAAGGGCAATAACGTCTTTCCCCTTGATAAAATTCACCAAACATTCTCTTTGTTCTGACTTTAAATCCTCGATCTTGGAAATTCCAACACAGAATGTATGTCTTCGTCTGCATTCATCTCGATCGCTTTGTTTACTGTTGTGCTTCACAGCTCTTCACTGATTGGCCGGTGCACGGTCTACAACTTCTGAGGTTCTTGCAAACTGTCTAGTGCAGGCATGTCCAAACTATGGCCCCTGGGCCAAATGCGGCCCTCAGACAATTTTTTCTTGACCCTTAAGCTTCCAGGAGAATTGGCCCAAATTACCTTGCATCAATGAAAAATGTTGTTTTTATTGCAAGTTTTTTGAAAATCTACCTTGATAAAGCTAATATTTAATATTTAGTGTGTGGTTTTAAGGATCTTAGCATGAATAAAGACTGATGGCTCATTCTAACGTGCAGATATTTCAATTATTCACTGTACTGAGCACCAGTCTATGGCCCTTTGATCGGCCCTCTGCTTCGTCTGTGTTTAGAGATGTGGCCCTTGATGAAAAAAGTTTGGACACCCCTGGTCTAGTGTATTCCCATTCCTGACTTAGTCGCTGGAGAGAAATGAAATTGAGCGGAGGCACGAGGTGGCGCCAGCCTGGCTTACAAAAAAGATGGCAATATAGCAGAATTGACTTCCAGCCAAGTCTATTGTTTATGGACGGATTGTGTTAAGATAAAGCGCCAAGTCTAATTTAAGTAACAGAGCTTTAGACGGAGTAGTGCCTCCTGTTAGCTTCACACCCCAAGGAATGCTGATGAAAAAGTATCGATAGGTTCACATTCTTGTATTTGGTGTTTAATTTCAGATAGTGGCAAGAGCCTATGTAACTCCAGAGGCAGGTAGAGAAACCAAAAATTGTACTCAAGTAAGAGTCATGTTACCTCAAAATAATATTACTAAAGTGTAGTGGTCCAAGAAATTACTCAGATAAGAGTAAAAAGTATTTGGGAAAACTAGTAAAAGTAACTTGGAGTAACTCACAGTGGAAGAAGTACTTTTACTGGAGTGCTGTTACTTCGATAAAAATATTACTCAAGTAGGGCTAAAAGTATGCTGCTAGAGAAAAGTACAATTTCTTCAAAAAGTTACTCTCTACAACTCTATGGGAAATGTACTGTTTTTGAAAGAAATATCCAAAATATAACTCCACAAATGTCACATCTTATATTTGTTAGGTGTTGAAAGCTGGATCGCTCATATTAATCTCATGGCTGAAAATCCATTAAACTGGCAACAATCGCGCCTTTGGAGTTGAATAATTGCATAATTTCTGAGGCTATTGTAAAAACATTTCACTTTTGTTTATTTATACTGACAAAAAATAATAATGTATCTTATTCTGCAAAAACAAAAAACAGCGAACCACATTTCAGTCTTTTTGTAATTTTTTTCTGGATGTGGTTAAAAAGAGAGATTTTTCCTATTTAAATCCGGTCAACTTTTTCCCAGATTTCAGAAATAAAGTCTTCGTTTGACCCGTCCTTCAACCTGGGCCTCTGGGAAACCTGTCTGAAGCAGTGGGCTACCGCGGCAGATATTAGTGTGTAATTTTACAGTCCATTCACATTTATGCAGTACTCCAGACTTTATTCAAGACATTAGTTTTAGCACCTTTCTCACGGATCTCAAAAATATGACTGATCTATAAAATGTCTTCTGTCACACACAATTAAAAAAGTTTGAAAGCGTAAAAACACTGAAATTTTGATTTGCTTTCCCCATTTTATGCAATGAACCCATAGAACTATAATAAAATCTGTAATAAAACTAAAATAAAATAATTTTTTATTATAGATCATGATTGTACCTTTACTTTTCTGTGAACTTAACGCCCCCTGCTGTTGATGGATGGTATAGCTGTAACTCATACGTCTTCTTTATTGTAATATAGCTGTTCATATGATTGTGGGGAGCTTAAAATGTCAAGAACCGTTTCGAAGTTCACATTCCCTCAGATTTCTCAAACCTCTTATGAAAGGGTTTATCAAAGACCTGCTCCTCTGAACCAAATCCAGACTTAAACCTGTGCACTGCCTGGCTCTGTGTAAGCCGCTCCAGCACTTAGCCTGTCTGAATACATAATCGCGCACTATACAGCTCCAATCGAAGACATGTGCGATTAGGCTGAAAAATAACGAAAAAATAAGCAAGAATATGTAACCAATTAAATTAAACATTTACGTATAATAATATATATATATATATATATATATATATTATATATATATATATATATATATATTTTTTTTTTTATAAACCCTACGTATACTAGTCTATGTGCTCTTATACTTTTTCTGAAACTGCTCAAAATCATTCTAAATCTATTCAGGAAAGGTTCATTTCTGTCCTGTGAATGTGACTTTTTTAGTATTCATACCTGCTCAAATAAATTTCTAGTTTCAGTACTAGTTGTAGTATCAATTAGCAACTGATAGGGATGTAACAATAACCAAAATATTGTGATATCGTATCGTCAAAAGTCTCACAATAATACCATGGGGCGTCACAATATATCAAATTACAAAATTGTTTACTTAAATACATTGTTTTATAGTAACAATAGCTAATAAACATTGGGAACTACATATCCCATGAGTCATTTCAGTGCAGACAACATGAAGAAATATGTTTTTACTTGAATTCTTGAGATTATGACGGTAATAATTCACACCAAAATTTTGTCAGGGTAATTTAAAAGCAAAAAAATGTGCTTTCTGCAATTATATCAGCCTCTCTCCAAAATATCGCAATAGTATCGTACCGAGAAATTTGGATATTGTTACATCTCTAGCATCTGATTTTCAATACTTTTGACAATCCTACAAGCAATTATTTCTATTGAACAGTTGTAAAATACATTTTTAACCAGATAAAAGTCAAATACGGCGGCTGAAGGCTTCTGAAGATAGAATATTTACAAATTTGGTAATTACTGATGCCAAATTATTAGGGATGTAACGATATCCAAATCTCACGATACAATATTGTTACGATATTTATTGCGATATTTGTGAAGAATAACAAAACTGTGAATATGCTGCTTACTACTTAAAAAAAAAAAACATTGATACTGTTAATAATGGTCCTGTTGTAATATGAAGAATTAACATTTAAAAGTGTTATTAATGTTAAGTCTCTATTGACAACACCAAAGGATCGTGGTCTATGTAGTTTCCTCTGTTTTTTAGCAATTGCTGCACCATAACAATGAATTTAACTAAAGTGACTTGTAGTTAGGATATATTGTGACGGTCCATGATGATATTGCAAGACTTTTGATGATACGATATCACTATATTTCGGTTATTGTTTCGTCCCTACGAATTATACATTACAATTATTTTTAAAAGTAATTCTGATTCAGTAATGCCTCATCTCTAAAATGTCTGCTTCGTCTATCTTTCAAAATATAAATTCAAATTTTAAATTACTTCTCAACACATTTTCATTAGTCGCGTTATTTTTACGTTTTACCTTAATCCATCTGCTTCTTAGACTGTCCTTTTGGTGCATGGATTCTCGTGTTTTCCAGATTGCAGCAGAGATTTGTCCTTAGTGTTATTAAGTGTGTGGTGACATCTTCCTCGCAGCTGTTTGTCTGGATAAGGCTAAAAATAGTGACATAAGGAGCTTTAGGAAACCACTGGAAACCGCTGTCCTTTTTCCCTCCTCAGGATTAGTTTCTTGGAGCTAGAGAAGCACTTCTTAAGGATTTGATGTGATTGTGGCGTCCTGATTTTCATTTTCATTTTCACATTAAGCAGAAATGTGGTATAATCTGTAAAAACATGAAAAATATCACCTTATAAAACAGAAGTACAGGCAGTTAAGAGAAGCATTTATCATATTTTAATTGGTAAATATATACTGCCACTGCCAACAGAGTGGAAGCTCAACCATAGACTGTATATAAAAATGAACAGGAAGTGAGCATGGTCGTGCTTCCAGCTCCATCGGCTCTGGTTCCAGTTCACTTTGTATTGATAATCAATGCCTATTCCTAATATCGAACTTGGCTCTAAATTTGCCTGTATAACCGCTAGTCTCGTGATCTTAATTTGACTGAAGACGAACGCTACGGGTGAGAAGGACAGTTTAAAGGTGCACTGTGTAACTTTTCGGTTGGGGGTCCGTCACCTGCTTATTTTTATGGATATGTCATTGCTCTGCTCCACAATGTTCCACAGTATAACATTAAACACCCAACAGTCTAAGGAGGGACTCCCAGACTTCCCTCACCCCAGACACTTCCTCCAGCTCCTCCAGGGGGACCCTGAGGCATTCCCAGGCCAGCCGAGAGACATAGACCCTCCAGTGTGTCCTGGGTCTTCCCCGGGGCCTCCTCCTGGTGGGACATGCCCGGAACATCTCCTGGGGGAGACGTCTAGGAGGCGTCCGGAACAGACCCACCTCAACTGCTCCCCTTGACGTGGAGGAGCAATGACTCTACTCCGAGCTCCTCCTGTGTGACTGAGTTCCTCACCCTATCTCTCAGGGAGCGCCCAGCCACACTGCAGAGGAAATTCATTTCGGCCGCTTGTAACGGCGATCTTGTCCTTTCGGTCATTACCCAGAGCTCATGACCATAGGTTAGAGCAGGAACGTAGATTGATCGGTAAATCGAGAGCTTTGAATTTCGGCTCACCTCCCTCGTCACCACAACGGTCCGATACAGCGACCGCATCACTGCAGATGCTGCACCGATCCGCCTGTCAATCTCACGCTCCATCCTCCCCTCGTGAACAAGACCCCGAGATACTTGAACTCCTCCACTTGAGGCAGGGACTCTCCACCCACCTGGACGTTAAACAGCTCTACCTTACGTTTACTCAGTGACAGGTGTTTCTATAGCTCAAAAACTGACGAGCTTGCCTCTCTACAGATCTGATCTGTAACTTGGTCCGGTTTGGTCTCCATGAAGTTAGAAAGGTTTAAACACCATAAATACCGGACCCTCCACCCGAAAAGTTACACAATGCACAATAGCAACACACAGTGACATTTTTACAAGCTCGGTTTGGTTAACAATATTTTTTACTGGTTTGAAAGGGAGATTATGACAAAAAATAATTAAACTGACTTAAACTTATCTTTGCATTGCAGTCTACCCGTGTCCGCTGTTCAGTGTTCGCTTCAGGAAACCTCTTTTTGGAGAAACCGGACACACCATCATGAATCTACTCGCGGTAAGTCAAGCTTTAGTCAGGATCACCATTAATATAACCATTTAAAATACGCTGATCAGTGCTTTTATTTTTTTCCCTAAGGATTTCCGTAATTACCAGTACAGTCTGCCGGCAGTCAAAGGATTGGTCGTAGACATGGAAGTGCGGAAAACTAGCATCAAGATTCCCAGTAATCGCTACAATGAGGTGAGGGCTTTGAATCCTGCAGGCACTGACCTCTCTACTATGTCATTTATTAGTATTTAAGTACATTAATTACATGATATATTAAGAGTAATGTGTGATGTTACAATGTGTATGCTTTGTAGAAATAGCCTGGGTTTAATTTCTTGGTAAATGGTTAATCGTTGCATTTTTATATAGCGCTTTTCCACCTTCAAGGCACTCAAAGAGCTCCCTTCAAAAGCATTTCTGGATTAACCAATTTACATACATTTGCCTGCAGTTAAATGTCGTTTCCAAATCGGTCATCTGTGGCTGCCGTAGAGTTTAACTGTACTCAAGCTCAGACCAATTAGGATTAACCAGCAGAGACCCATAAGCCTATTCTACACATCATAGACCCAGAGGAGAGGTCATTAAAAACTGAGCTACACAACATGTGACATTGAAATCTGGTTTAAGGGCCTGTACTCGATTATTTTCTATGTATTTGATCAAAATGTGCCCCAGTATAGATATATTGCATAAGCAGCTCCAAACTATGTACTGTCTGTGTCAAATTATAAATCTTTTTACTGATCAAAATCTGAAAGTGCGTGTTATTGTACTACTTGTTAGCTGTATCATCACGGCAAAACTCCGCACTGGAAGCAAGCAGACGAATTTATATAGCACAGTTTCATAGACAAGGAAGTTCCAAAGTGCCTCAGAACAAGACACTGATCTCTGAGAGCTGTAAAAAGTGCTTATAAACTTATCACAGTGAATAATTAGGATGCTCAGAATGTATGTCAGGAACCACTCCAAACTGTTGTAAGATGAACTAGTTCTGCTTTTCACAACATACAGAGAAGTATAAAGATAACTGCATCTTCTTAATTGAAAATTGGTTATTATGCGAGCTGTTCCCTCATAAAAAACATGCCTGAAATGGTTTTCTGAATCATTCGTGCATGTTTGAGTAATCGACTTATTAAATTTATTGATCCACAAGGGAAATTATTTGGACACAGCAGCTCACGCATCACAATATAATATAATAACTAAGTACAACAATATAAATGGCAATAATAAAATCTAAATAAGTAGCAAAAAAGACAGCAAGAGACAGATAAATGTTTATGTACAAGTCAAAATAAAATAGAAAAATAAGTAATAAAATACAAAATCTCAGCTTTATACAAGAGGTCATAGGAAGACAGAGCGACAATGATATGATGATTGACAGGACATAGGGTTATCCGTTACATAAGGGTGAGTTGTTGTATAGTTGTAGGGAGTATTATAGTATGAATGTAGTCCTGTATCTCTCACTATTTCGGCGGAGCTGTAGGTTCCTGTTGGAGAATTAACTCCTCTGATCCTCTATAGTCTAATAATCTAGGGATCTCTCATGGGCCTATTTGAACCATACTTATTGTTTGGAATATGAGACCGTGCGTCTTGTCTGAGGCTCCGCCCACAAGCCTACGTAACCATGAAGCTCTCTGCAGTGCTCCCCATGCTCCAGCTACACTGCTCCTCTCTGCTCTGCTCCTCTCACTGAACAGCGAGTTGAAGAGAGACTAATTAATTAACATTTTTAATATGTTGTTCTATGTAAATTTTGTATTTTCAAAACAATAGAAGTTAACACTGTGATCTAAATATGTGACATGATGGCAGTCAATACCCATAGAAATGTAATACCCCTTTTTTACACTGTCCAGTCACTCCAGCAAACTCACTCTGGGCCTTCTCCTTTCTGTTATTGTGTATTTTAAACTAATTAGTCAACTTAACATCAAATCTTCAGTGTGCATTTCTTGTGTGTTTTCTTGGTGCAGCTGATGAAGGCCATGAACAAGTCGAACGAGCACGTGTTGGCGATGGGGGCGTGTTTTAACGAGCGCGCCGACTCTCACCTGGTCTGTGTGCAGAACGACGACGGAAACTACCAAACACAGGCCATCAGCATCCACCACCAGCCCCGCAAAGGTACCACACTAACATGAAGTCCTACTGCAGATTTTCAGATTCTACTATGTGATGATGTTATGCTCCCAGATGAGGAAATGCATGAGTTTTTCTATTGACTACACTGGGTTTTACAGTGTAGTCAAAAAAACTCAGTGTATTACAACAATACACTAAGTTACCACAATACATTGCATGTACATTATCCATTTTAGCTGCTCTTCATCTGTATTAAATATTATTGGGGTATGCAATGATGTGATGTCATCTGAAACACAGAAATAGACACTTGGTTCTAGAGGTGTGCAAAAATATTGAAATATCGATATATCGTATTGTTTAATGTGATGATACAGTATCGATATCGGGGACTGCTGTATCGATATATCGCTAAGAGTATTTTTGAAATATTTTACTGAATAATTTTGTTACAGAGCTAGAGTTTTGTTGCTTGTTTAGAGGAAGGAAACTGTGACACATTTGACATTTTCACTGTTTTGATGATTAAAATGTTTGTGTTTCATATTAACTTTGCACATGAAGTGGTTTAACAAAGACTTTTATTATCACAGCCATGATTTAGCCTTTATTTTTTACTGAACCGTATCGAATCAATTTGAAATATATTGTATCAAAGTGAAAGTGCTTTGTATCAAGATATGTATCGTATCGTGGCCTATGTATGGTATCGGCAACTTCTTAATGATACCCAGCCCTACTGGGTTCAGAGTATACTGGGGATGTTTGTGGATCTAGGGCTGCGCAATTCATTGTCATTTCTAACTGTCACTGACGTCGTTCAGGGTTTTTAATCAAGAGGTTTGCAGCAAATATTCTGTCCTCTGGAACTCTGATTTGCCCCATTTAACCGAAGGAACATGTAATACCATGCCTAGCAGTCCTGACCAATACTAGCTCAAAATCTGCTTCTGACAGGTTTCCCCAGCTGCATTGAAGGATGGGTCAAATGCAAAGAACAAATTTCCCTATGGGGACTGTAAACTGTAACTTGAACCTAAAACCTCGACTAAACCCGGAAATGCTAACTTCTTCTCTTGTCTGTTTCAGTGACTGGAGCCTGTTTCTTTGTGTTCAGTGGAGCTCTGAAAGCCTCATCGGGATACTTGGCTAAAACCAGCATCGTAGAAGGTTTGTAGAACAGGAAAACATCACCTTTTACATTTTTTTTTTTTTTTAAAGAAAAAGTTGATACTGACATCTCTACTGACAAAAACGTTTCCTTCAGATGGAGTGATGATCCAGATCACCGCGGAGACGATGGAGGCTCTACGGCAAGCGCTGAGGGACATGAAGGACTTCAGTATCACCTGTGGAAAAGCGGATCAGGAGGAGAGCCAGGACACTGTTCACATCCAGTGGACCGAAGACGACCACAATTTCAACAAAGGGTGAGGAATGGGAAACAATAAATCATTTCTAGTGTAAAGTCTCCTTTATTTGACCTTGTTCTGTGTCTTCAGTGTGATCAGTCCCATCGACGGGAAGTCCATGGAGTCCATAACCAGCATCAAGATCTTTCACGGCTCCGAGTTCAAGGCCAATGGGAAAGTCATCCGCTGGACCGAGGTGACAACTACAGGATACAGCATTTCATCAAAAACATTTATAAAGCTTTGTGACAAGGCTGAATCATTGTAGAAAAAATATCTAATGGCATTTTGAAATTAATACTGTGGTTAGATTTGCAATTTGTTTTTAAGGAATCGATTTAGAGACACCTCCAGGAGCATTAAGAACACTCACTGACGTTTATTCAATAGAGATTACTCTTAACCTCGCACTATGTTTGGGATTTCACAACTGTGATTTTTCAACTGTGACGGGGCCCGGCTGTTGTTAGAAACTGGATCAATCACAGGACAACATTGTGGTTTAGGGAGGAGCCAAAGGTGACGCGCCCAAACAAAGCAAACATGGCAACTACGACTGACATAATTCGGTCGATTTTGCCAAAAATAGCGACCAATAGTGTTTTTGCAGATGTGCAGAGTTAGGTAGTTTGTGCGTTTGTGGACAGATGTTTGTGCTTTTGTCTCAGCTGCATCTCGATTATTCTTGCAGCTCTAATATAAACTACAAACTCTTTCTCTCCCTCTGCTCCCTCAGGTGTTCTTCCTCCAGAGTGAGGAGCAGTCTGGAGGTCTGTCTGACCCGGCCGATCACAGTCGTCTGACAGAGAGCATGGCCAAGGCGTTCTGCATCGCTCTGTGCCCACACCTCAAACTGCTCAAAGAGGACGGTATGGCTAAGCTGGGCCTGAGGGTCACTCTGGACTCAGACCAGGTACGCAAAACAACTCATGCAGTAACTCTCACTTTTTACACTGTTTAAAGGGGCACTATGACACTTTTGTGGTCTGCAATCAATTTGTTTCATGTAGATTCTTGCCTAGATATTTGCTTTTGCCTAGAACAGAGGAAACAGTTTTGAGATCCCTGGCCTGGAATATTCCACGTCAGGCTTCATACTGATCCTCAGTTCACAAATGTTAAACCTGATCATTTCTGTTAGTGCCTAGCAGTGTTGGCAGATTGGGTTTAGTGATTTCCACCCAATCACGTTCGAAAACCTGCCCTCTTCAGTAAAAAAACACCCAATAACGTTTTGTTGCAAAACATTTACTGGTAATCTTTGACTAAATGTATGTTTGTTGTTGGGCTTTTTAAAAACATTGCCAGTATTAAGAAAACATGTTAAATGTAAAACAGTATTTTCATTTATCAAAGATAAAAATTTTATTTAGCCTAATTTGAATAAACATGTTGTAACATAATCTATTGTCTTTTTTTGCCAGGATTGAGAAAACATGTTTGTAAAACCTTTGGTAAAACGTAGAACAGCATTTGAACGTAGTGGACGTCCATTCATTAGAGCACAGACCGGAGCGCACCTCCTTAAAAACTGGACAGGAATGAAAGTCCCATATGGTTCCTCGCGTTATTATGTTATTGCATTATTGCATATCGTGTTGATTAGTGTGAAAATAAAAACAGCCCAAACTTGTTGAAAGAAGCCGAAATATTGTCTAACCATGACCCGTCCAATCTGGCAACTCTGGTGACTAGACCCAAGAACTGACTGTATTATTACAAAAACCTGCATTTTAACAATATTTAATTAATAATCAAGAAAGCCACAGGGTTTTAAAAGTCTTAAAAAGGTCTTAAATTTCATGTTCCCAAGTTAAGGCCGTAAAAAGTCATTTCATTTAAGTGGTCTTAAAAAGGCCTTTAAAAAGTCTTAAATTTGGGGTAGTCAAACCTAGGGATACCCTGATAATATAATAATTTTACCTTCCAGCTATTTGTATTAAATATTTCTATCTTATAGAATGTTATGTCATCAGATACACAGCAATACCACAATAATGATGTACAAGTGTAGTTTAAAAGTCAAAATAATACATGTATTTTTAAGAGAACATGGATTTAAATGTCTTGTTTTTCTTTGCAGGTTGGATATTTGGCCGGCAGTAACGGGCAGCCCCTCCCCCCTCAGTACCTCAGCGACTTGGACTCCGCCCTCATTCCCATAATTCACAGCGGCGCGTGTCAGCTGAGCGAGGGGCCCGTCGTCATGGAGCTCATCTTCTACATCCTGGAAATCATCTCCTAGAAACAAGACTCCTGAGGCTTCATGGAAAACACACATTTTTAAGGCATTTCACTCAAGGTCATTCAAATTCGAGGCCTTTTGATCGAGCAGACGTGGTTTTAGGATGAACATTACCATGGAAACTGTGGTGTAAACATGTTCAACCATTTTTGTATTGTACAGGAGCCGGGAGGGTTCATAACAAATGGAAACGCCGCAATAAAGAAGTCACAACACGCCAAAAAAAGCCACAACAGAAGTGACAGCGGGAATCTAGTTTAATGCAAACGCCACAACAAAAATGCAAACACAACAACACAACAAAAAGCCACAACAAACCAAAAAAAGCCACAATGGAAGTGACCGCGGAACTCTTTTTTTTTCGACGGACCAAGCGACAGTCAGACAGTGTCATCGATCCTGGCCACAAAACAATAAATTACTTTTACTTACATTTCCAACTTCGTTCACCTCTCTGTTGCTTTACTTTTCACATTCTTGTTCTTCTTCAGCTTTTTCCATTCACTTCCCACGTGGTCCGTCGGAAAATAGAGTCCTACAGTCACTTCCGTTGTGGCTTCTTGGTTTGTTGTGGCTTTTTGTTGTGTTGTGGCATTTTTATTTGTTGCTGCGTTTGCATTAAAAGAGTCCTGTGGTCATTTCCATTGTGACTTTTTTGGTGTTTCATGGCAATTTTTGGTTTGTTGTGGCTTTTTGTTGTGTTGTTGCGGCGTTTGCGTTTGTTATGATCCCTCCCGGCTTCTGTAATATTGTGTATTGCAAAAAACAAAACAAAAACAACAACTTGAAAACATGCATTCTTACTGTATGCGGCCTTGCCTCACCACAGATCTGACCTGTAATGTTAACCCGGTGGTGGGTATTGCTTGCTTTTCTCAATGTAAACGAAATAACACTATATATTTTTCCAATTTAACATTTTAAACAACTAAATGGCCCGATCGAAATGCCTAGAATTTTCCAAGTCCTGCGCCGTCATCAAAAGCTCTCACCTCATCGGTCGATTTCGTTGAAGCCCGGATGCAGCACTTCCTGGTTCCAGGCGGGTAGCAGTCCTCTTCACATCTATGCATCCGCCGCAGCTCTGTTTTTTTATTATAGCACCGAGTTCCAGGCCCTCACTGTGGACACCAAGGGCCTCAGCAATGCATTTTGGGTAGCAGCAACCACATACACACAATACAGATATTTCTCTAGCTCAACAAAAATATCAACACTACATTTTGGTTGCAATTTTGGATTAAATCGAGGGAAATTTTATCTCTTCTGAGTGTGTGCTGTTGTGTCTATGAGCAAGACACTTCACACACATTGCCTACATCGATTGTGTGGCTTTGACAGGGTGAAGGGCATCTGACGCAAAAAAAACAAACAAACAAAAAAAACCTGTAAATTCTCCTAAAATCAAGTTATCCAATCAGAAAGCAGAAAGAGGTTCTCACTTTGGGTTGCCAGATCCTCCGACTAAAACCAGCTCTGCGATTTTAAACTCTGGGGTTCTTGGTATTGCACAAAATGTATATCTTCATATTTTTGATAACAATATTCAGAAGATAATTATAGAAACTCATGTGAGGCTCATTCTGTTTTCTGATGGATAATCATCTTGTGAACCAAAACACCAAATTTCAGCGTGGCCAGAATTTCTAAATAAACTAGGACATCCCAATTTTTGGTGGTTGGTAATAATAGAGTTCCCACGTCCCACGTCATGGAAATCCTGAAAAAGTCATGGAATTTTAGTATCTCTTTCACACAACCACAGCGTTCTGTTAAATTATCATTAGGCTGTTATGATTATTTCTGAACATATGCGCCTTTTGTTTAAAGAGACGACAATAAATGCACTGACATTATTTTGAAATGTTAAAAAACTATAATCCCAAACCATAAGGCGAGTGGAAAGAGTTAACATTTCATATTTAGCCCTAAAAGTCTGATCAATTTTACACATGTAGAAATGTCATGAAGTCATGGAAAATTCACTTGAGGTCATGAAAAAGTCATGGAAATGTTTAGAAATTTTATCAATGAAAAAAAAGTGGGAATAAAATAAACAAACAAGTGCGGAATGAAAAAAATTTTTATGCCGAGACCATTCATGACTAACGTGAGACAGTATAGTCACATTTTCTTTGTGTTTTGGTCATTTTTACGCAGATTTAAAAATATTTTACCTAAACAAATGACAATTTATGCTTCCGTTTACTGTCGGCAGGTGTCAGATTTGTCAAAAATAGGGACATCAGGGACATTTCTTGTATAAAACTGGGACAAATGACTGGGAAAGGGGACACGGGGCTCAAAACTGGGACTGTCCCGTTAACCGTCATGAGCTTCATTTGACCAGAGCTGAACGCTGTGGGTGATGTCGCGCTCACTCAGTGCACTTCTTTATACAGTCTGTGTTATTTTAATTAAAAATAAATCAGTGTTATAGTTCGCTCACTGTGTCTCGCAGCGAACAGTCACTTTTAGTCAAACTGTAAAACATAAAAGAAAAAACCCATTCAAATTCAGATTCATTTCAGGAGTACAGAATTATTTTTAATGTGTAAAATACTTGAGCTTGAGGTGGTGTTTTTATTAGTATTTTTTATTCCTCAAACTTAGCGATAGCGTTAGCATTAGCGTTAGCATTGAGACACAAACATGCCTCTTTCTAAACACAAAACTGTCCTCTGCTCAAATATTCGTTTTATTTATGTAATTTTTAACATGTTGTCAGTGACATCCACCCACAACTCACAGTCCAGTGTCTTATTTTTAAATATTTATTCATTTTAACCAAAAAAAACCCCCCAAAAAACAAAAACGTAGATTCACAATTGTACAGGAAGTAGTGACGCTAACATTAAGGTTACCGGGCACTGTTGTGCATAGAGCCGATTTTGACCAGTAAAAGATGTATTTAATTTGAGTTTACCTTGAACCTGCGGACACAGTTAGGCCAAAACTATGAAATTTTGTATTAAAATTGTACATAATGTTCCTCTAATGTGAAATAACCCACAAAAGGTCAGAAATATCACTTAAAACCCTTGAGAAATGTCACAATGTCCATAGTTTGATATTTTCCCAGGTCTGTTTTTAAACCAGTAGAAGCACAAGTTACAATTATTACCTTTTTTTTTTTTTTGTCTCTGGTGCTACCCATGACCTAAAAACTTAAAAAATATTGACATTTGGGGAAAATTGCAGCCAAAATGAATGTTGAAATTTCGTTTTGTTCAGCATTTAAACACTACAGATCACACTGTTGCGGTGCTACGATCGCTCGTGTATTTGAGGTAAATGGACTTCAGTTTTCCAGCTTTATTCTCCATCAGCACTGGCTTTACCTGGACTCTCAAAGACTGTACATAGTTTTATACTCATTATAACCAATACATGTAGCCTCCAGTGGGAAAAAACTATGTAAAAGACAGTATTAAGAGCAAAAGGGACTCAAGTAATGTACAAATATTTCATGTCGAATTGTGAATTGAAATCGCTCGGTGGTTCCAATGCTTTATGATGTAATTCAAATTGTACAGACGCAGCAGCTGAACCTGTCACGTCAATGTGTTTCTATTGAAGATTTCTGTCCATGTAAAGTTAAAAAAAAAAAAAAAAAAAAAAAAGTACAGCTATAAATATATAAATCTATATTAGAGATGTTTTAAATGCACTGGATTAAAGCCATTTCAAGCCTGGACAGCCATACTGAAGTTGAATAGGTTAATATCTTGAAATTGGACCAATCAGAATGCGTTTAACCAAAAAGGGGCGGGACTATTCATTCAAGCTTCTCTCTGATTGGCTGAATATCTGTGTTTAGAGATACAAATTCAAATATTATGCTTTTTACTGTCTAAATCTACCTACCTTTTGCATTCTGAGCATCCTAATTACTCACAGTGATGAGTTTATAAGCGTTTTCCGCAACTTCCAGAGACCAGAGCGGTAATTCTGACAACTAACAACAACACTAGCATGCTAAAGCACACTTCCTGATTCTTGGATAATAAAACGGGTTATAATTAGATCCAGACAGTCCAAAAGAGCTGCTTATTTGCATGCAGTTTTGAGTAAAATATATGGAAAAAACAAGTTAGAGAGTCTTTAAATATTAGTTTAGAAATATCAGAAAACCTGACTTCAAGTATGGGTGCCCAGGCTGGACATTTTCCGAAGGTTAAATTTTGCGAGTTGGGCCTATAGAGGAATCCCTTCGTTTTGGACTCTTATAGAAGTTGAATGTAAAACCATAATCTTCTGTCGTTTTCACCCAGTCATGAAAACTAGACTCTATGTAACTGAATGGACCTTTTGAACAAGTAATAGTATTGATTTTTTTTTTTTATTTAGAAATGTGTTTTTTGTTTTTAAGTTACCAAATCCGCTGTTAAAATAAGATGTACGGCTCATAAATCACCTGTATAGGGGACAGACAATCATGGACACAACTAATTTCTGCACACAAGCTGGACGTTAAAGAGGGGGTATTCTGCTAAATCAACTTTTTAGAGCTTTCTACTCATCAAAAACATTCCTGACATGGTTGAAGAGTAATTTAGCAATCACTCTCGGGTCCTACTCAAACCCTCCTTACGGTTAGCTGTAAGATTTTGCACAATTCTCAGCCCACACTTCTCCATAAATACACAAAAACATGATGCAAAACTGTACACTACAACTTCACAAACCTAATACGATGTGCTGTAGTTTCTTTAGTGCTCTGAAGGGGGAGTGATTAGCACGAGGAGCAAAGCGAGGTGAGGCTCAAAGTGTCAAAAACAATAGTGACACTTATAAAACTTCATTGTTAATACTTTGTTTTTGGAGCGAAAAGGGCATTTTGAAAACAATAAAAGGTAACACGGTGATCTAAATATGTTTTGTGTTAGTAGTTAATACCCCATAGAAGTAAAATACCCCCTCTTTAAAGAAACAGTACGTAACTTTTCTAGTGGGGGACTGCCGATTTGTGTCTACTCTGCAAAAAGTTTTATCTAGGTAAGTTAAAATGTCTTGAATTAACAATAATAAATATTTTGATTTCAGTAAATTTTACTTGACAATGCAACAAGTTTAAGCAACATACAATTAGTGCAAAGTTGTTGTTTTTTTCTTATTTAAAGTACAAAAATTTTACAAAAACTTTAACTTGTCCAGTCAAATCTACTCAAACCAAAATAATGTATTCTTAATTTATGCATTAAAACAATTTAAACTTGCCTAGATATGTTTTGCAGTGAATGCTTGAAGATAATCTAAATGTTTTTGTTTCTGTGCAAGAAATGTGATCAAATTGAAATTGTGACAAGAAAATGTTTGTATTTTTATATTTTTGGCCAGATTGCCATCTCAAACATAACCTGTTTTGATGAAAAAAAACCAAAAAACAGTCTAGACACAGAGAGAACATGCATACTGCACACAGAAAGTCCCCAAACATGTGTTATTTCTTATTTTATGTATTTTTATTCAGTTTAGTTTCATTTAGCGCCACTTTTAAAAAAAACTTTAACATTTCTTTGGTTCATTCAGACCACTTCTTACTGCTTACTAATGGTCTTTATCATTTTCAAGATTCATATTTAGTATTTTATTTTGGTTAAATTGGCATCATCAGTTTATTGTTAGAACTTGTTTAAACTCTTTCCCATTTCCAGTTTGTGCAATTTGTCCAAAAAGGTGCAATTTAAAAAGTCTCATTTAGTTGTGTTCGACGATATGGACTTCACTAGAACATGCATGCAACAGAAGCAGCCTGGGAATTGATCATTACACTACTCTGAGTTTGTGGAAATGAATTGTTTTGTGGTTTGATTTATTTTTTTTAATGAACATTGGTTGAAATGTTTGAAAAGCCAAAAATGTGCTTATTTTTCGTTACAAAGTGGACTTCATCCGCCTCTGTAGAATATGTACAATAAATACTTGTAGAAAATGACAGAGTGGAATATTGTGCTGTTTTTGAGCTACGTGCCACAAATATGAACATGTTCTGTATAAGCCCATTGCTCATAAACATACTGCATATACTATAAGTCCTGAGACATGAAGAGCCAGGACTAAAATAGGACAGAACCAAGACTAAAACAGGACTGAACCAGGTCTAAACCAGGACTAAACCAGATCTAAACCAAGACTAAAACAGGACTGAACCAGGACTGTATCAAGACTAAAACGGGTCCAAACCAGAACTGAACCAGGACTGAACCAAGACTAAAACAAGTCTAAACCAGAACTGAACCAGGATTAAAAGAGGACTGAACTAGGACTGAACCAGGATGAAAACAGGATTACACCAGGACTACACCAGGACTGAACCAGGACTAAACCAGGTCTAAACCAGAACTGAACCAGGACTAAAACAGGATTAAACCAGGTCTAAACCAGAACTGAACTAGGACTGAACCAGGATTAAAACAGAACTAAAACAGGTCTAAAACAGGACTGAACTAGAACTGAACCAGGACTAAAACAGGTCTGAACCAGGTCTGAATCAAGACTGAACCAGGACTAAAATAGGTCTAAACCAGAACTGAACCAGGACTACACCAGGACTGAACCAGGACTAAACCAGGTCTAAACCAGAACTGAACCAGGACTAAAACAGGATTAAACCAGGTCTAAACCAGAACTGAACTAGGACTAAAACAGGTCTAAAACAGGACTGAACTAGAACTGAACCAGGACTAAAACAGGTCTGAACCAAGACTGAACCAGGACTAAAACAGAACTAAAATAGGTCTAAACCAGAACTGAACCAGGACTGACCTAGGACTGAACCAGGACTACAACCAGGACTAAACCAGGTCTAAACCAGAACTGAACCAGGACTAAACAGGATTAAACCAGGTCTGAACCAGGATTAAAAAACAGAACTAAAACAGGACTGAACTAGAACTGAACCAGGACTAAAACAGGTCTGAACCAAGACTGAACCAGGACTAAAATAGGTCTAAACCAGAACTGAACCAGGACTACACCAGGACTGACCTAGGACTGAACCAGGACTACACCAGGACTAAACCAGGACTAAACCAGGTCTAAACCAGGTCTAAACCAGAACTGAACCAGGACCAAAAACAGGATTAAACCAGGTCTGAACCAGGATTAAAACAGGTCTAAAACAGGACTGAACTAGAACTGAACCAGGACTAAAACAGGTCTGAACCAAGACTGAACCAGGACTAAAACAGAACTAAAATAGGTCTAAACCAGAACTGAACCAGGACTGACCTAGGACTGAACCAGGACTACACCAGGACTAAACCAGGTCTAAACCAGGTCTAAACCAGAACTGAACCAGGACTAAAACAGGATTAAACCAGGTCTGAACCAGGATTAAAACAGAACTAAAACAGGACTGAACTAGAACTGAACCAGGACTAAAACAGGTCTGAACCAGGTCTGAACCAAGACTGAACCAGGACTAAAATAGGTCTAAACCAGAACTGAACCAGGACTGACCTAGGACTGAACCAGGACTAGACCAGGACTAAACCAGGTCTAAACCAGAACTGAACCAGGACTAAAACAGGATTAAACCAGGTCTAAACCAGAACTGAACTAGGACTAAAACAGAACTAAAACAGGTCTAAAACAGGACTGAACTAGAACTGAACTAGGACTAAAACAGGTCTGAACCAAGACTGAACCAGGACTAAAATAGGTCTAAACCAGAACTGAACCAGGACTGAACCAGGACTAGACCAGGACTAAACCAGGTCTAAACCAGAACTGAACCAGGTATAAAACAAGTCCAAACCAGAACTGAACCAGGACTAAAACAGGCCTAAAACAGGTCTAAACAAGGACTAAACCAGAACTGAACCAGGTATAGTATATTGTGCATTCCCTATGCTTTGGGACAGTTGCCATGGTGATTCCCGCCAGGTGAGCGTGAGTCACGTGAGCACAGGTGGCTTATGGGCGCCTATTAATATGGCGTCTCCCAGAACTCAGGTGAGGGCATGGCAATGGACAATGCGGCAGAGCTTCTTTGGGACACCAGCGTTTCGGTTTTACGCTCTTTCAACGCGGATTTAACAGACAGCGAAAGGGAAATGTTTGTAAGTCATTCAGATTCAGAACAATGCGGGATTCAGAACTATGCGGGATTCAGTACTATGCGGGATTCAGAACTATGCGGGATTCAGAACTACGCGGGATTCAGAACTACGCGGGATTCAGAACTACGCGGGATTCAGAACTACGCGGGATTCAGAACTACGCGGGATTCAAAACTACGCGGGATTCAGGATGCGGGGCCGAGGAAAACGCGCCAAACGTGCAGCGGCGCCCAGATGACCACGTCAGCACGTCGAACCACGCCGAGGGGTCCAGATAAGTTTTACGTGTTGCCTGATCAGCCAAGACCGCACACACTTTTGCAACTTTACTACTTTATATTGTTTTCGAAGGGGATGTTTGTGAAATCCCTCTGTTGTCCAGGTAGGATCGATAACAAATGAGAAAATCAATGGACAAACTGAATTGAATTTCTCCTTTGCTGTAGACCTACATTTGCCCCTTTGTTACACAGTTCCCCTTTGCGATACATTTAACTTTCGACTTTAGTGCCCCAAACATTTCCCGTTTTGGCGGGACATAGGTCGGATTGGCGGGATGTAGGCTGGGCACGCAATTTAACCCTTTGTTATCGCAATACACAGTCGGAATGTTTGTGTTTTTTGATGAACTGTCGATGAATAATGCTTGTGTTTTTGATGAACTGTCGATGAATAATGCTTGTTTAATGTCACTGTGCTGAAGTTGTTCCTCGCGCTGGTTGATTTTTTGCAATGTGTGGTTTGAATAACGCTATGCTTTTGTGGGATTTCGTATGAATCGCGGCAGTGCTTTTGTTGAGAGGAAATGCTGTGCTTTTTTCATATTTCGGATTTGTCTAAATGTAATGATTCACTAAAGAAATGCAATATAAAAAGAAAAACCGGGGTCAAACGCCCTGTGTCCTGAAATTTTCTGGTAAAAGGTCGCGCAAACTCAAAGAAGCCTCTCTGAATGAAGTTAAACAAATTAGGTTTTCAATCAAAAGCCATACACCAAGAAATGAAATGGAAACTAATAACTCACTAAAACAAGATTTATATGATCTATACCATAAACATTGAGGTAGGCGACGCGTACTTTACTAATTTCTCATGATGGAAATTTATTCTTTGCGTCTGACCCGTTCTTCAATCACGGCCGCTGCTCCGGGACCATTCTCCGGGTCAAGAGATTTAAATTTATTTATTTTATTTTTTTTTAATTTTTTATTTTTTAATTTTTTTTTTTATTTTTATATTAAACGGGGAGTAGATTATTAAGTTTATTTCAAACTGCTAAACATTAAAGATACTAGTTTATTATTTGAATACAGCTAAAGCTAAAACATGTCCGTCATATATCATGTATACTGTCTAGCCCTTAAATTTTGAACATTGCTAAGCTAACCCATGCTAACTTTAGTGTTGTACTGCGAAACACTACTGTGACATGTTCATTGTCTAACCTTTTTTTCCTCCTCACAGGGAGCAGATTTATTGTCATGTTTATTACAAACTGCTAAAGATTTAAGCTACTAGTTTTGAATACAGCTAAAGCTAAAACATGTTTGTCATTGGATATTGACTAGCCCTTAAATTTTAAACATTGTAAGCTAAACTATGCTAACTTTAGTGTTGTACTGCTAAGCTAAATACTAATGTGACATGTCATTAACCTTTACAAGTTTTAACCCTCTCCAGGCAGGAGTTGCAGATTTGCAACAGCTACTTACTCCAAATCCATATTATATGAGCCTTTTTTCCCATCCATGCTGATAAACGTGGATGATGCAGACTGTAAGAATGGTTACACACAAACAGCCTGCCAGAAGTGCAAAGTACTTTTGTTGTTTACAAAGGATAAAAATTGTTTCTTGGAGTACCACATGAAAAAGTGATGTTGTTCTGCCATTGTAAAGCACTGTTACACTGTGCTTTATGTTTTCATTGTTATGAAAAGTGGTATACACATAAAGTTAGCGTTCATATCATTTTCAGTCTTCAATGTTAATTTACCACACCGGACCAATGCTGAAAATCTGCAACATCCCAGAACACATTGGATGTGAAGGTCTCTCTCAGAAAAAGTCAAGATTGTATATTACTACCCCATATGATCATTTCCCCCAAATATCAGATTTTTCCTGATACTAAAAATTAATTTGAGCCTGAAAGGGTTAAGGTGGTGTCTAACCTTGTTTTTTTGTTTTTTTGTTGTTGTTGTTGTTTTTTTTTTACAGGGAGCAGATTTATTGTCATGTTTATTTCAAAATGCTAAACATTCAAGCTACTAGTTTATTTTTCGAACACAGCTAAAGCTAAAACATGTTTGTTATATTTATATTGACTAGCCCCTAAGTTTTGAACTTTGCTAAGCTAAACTATGCTAACTTTAGTTGTGTACTGCAAAACTAATCTACTTCATGTCTTGCAAATGTGAGACATGAAGATCATCTGCGGCAACTGTCGCAGATGTTAGTTTATTTTAAATACATGTCTGTCATATCATGTTACTAACACTTAAATTTTGAACATTAGCAATGTTCAATATACCAGTCTTAGCATAGTTTAGCTTAGTAAATTACAAACTTTAGTGGTGTACTGCTACGCAAAATACTAATGTGACATGTCGTTTACCTTTTCAGGTTTTAAGGTGGCGTCTCTTTTTTTCCACAGGGAGCAGTTTTACTGTCATGTTTATTTCAGACTGCTAAACATTTAAGCTACTAGTTTATTTTTCGAACACCGCTAAAACTAAAACATGTTTGTCATGTGTATATTGACTAGCCCTTAAATTTTGAACATTGTTAACCCTTTTCAGGTTTTAAGGTGGCGGCTAACTTTTTTTTTTTTTTTTACAGGGAGCGGATGTCATGTTTATTTCAAACTGTTA